TATTTTTCAGTATAGCTACAGCTACCGCAAGCAAAAAAAAAAAAGCTTTTTAATTTTAAATCTCTGTATAAATATACTGCTGTTTTAATTATTTCAGCATAAGAATATTGTGCTCTTTTGTTGATGACTCAGATGCTTAGAGAATTGAGCAATGAGACAGACATATATATATATATATATATATATATATATATAAAGCAAGTTAATTCAAAATCATATTGATTAAACTATTAAGTATCTATGTAGTGGTTTTGGTGGCACGAGTGACCTTGTGCCCTGCAAGAGCAAGTAGAAAAATATTTATATATAAGAGCAAAGTCAGGATTCTTATAATGCTCAGTAAAAAGGGCTGTTGTACAGATTGAATAATGAGCAGGTTAAAATTCACCAAGGCATGGCTAGCTCAAAAGAACTAGAGTGGCATTTAGGCACATTACATCTCACAAAATAAGGTGCCTAAAGGTCTGAAACCATTATCAGCCACTAAAAAATGAAAACAAGCTAACCACTCAGTTGCTTAGTGGGAAGGTATACATGGTACATTGACTGGTAATTGTAACACATGTTGGTTGCTACAGAAGATGGTGAGTGTCCCTAAAAAATCTTTACTGTGCCTTCAAAGGCACCTAACTATAATAACTTATCAACACTAACTATCTAAACGTCCCTAGGTAGACCGCTCGAAAGTTACTGCACTCAACCCACTACAAGCAACATAGGTATAGAATTGAGCATCCCCATAGTCCGATCACTTATAATTATTCGAATGCTGAACTGAAAATGTCCGATACACAATATCAACAAGGGGAATGCACGTGAGCCCCTAATGCGTCCCGCATGCACCTGTGTCTTCTACTACTTTAGCTAATTGGGTCACTGGTTACTTTCCCTTGAAGGTGTGGACATCTCTCAGGGCACATTCAGTTCGGAGCACTTCACCTTCTCGAGCTCTATTTTATATTTTGGTCTTTACAGCAGCACCACTGCTGAGAAATGCATGTTCTGGGCGTGCGCTCAATTCCCTTTTTTACATTTTTTTTTTTTATAATTTTGCAGATAGAAGGTTGTTGGTGGGCCAGTTCCACAAAAAGTGAACATGGTTGTATTTGGGCATCGGAGGATGAGACGTCTTGATGTCTCACAAAAATCAGCAATCTAAAAAGTCCTGAGCAATAGGGACCCCTTGTATAGGAACATGATACAAATTAAGTGTACACAAAACAAAGGGTACTTAAAATCACCTGTCTTATTGTGTGTAAGCCCATCACTACGTCATAGTAGCCAATATATAATTTTGGTCTTCACGGCAGCACCACTACTGAGAAATGCATGTTCTAGGTGTGTGCCTAATTCCCCTTTTTAATTTTTTTATATCGGAACATGGGTAGCTGAGATTGTTGAACTCATAATTTTGATTGACAGATAGGTCAATCAAGAACAGGTGCGGTAATGGGATTGAGGAACAGGTGCGGTAATGGGATTGAGATCCCTCTCCAAACATCAACTATACCAGATATGGTGACACGGTGTCGTGTCTGGTGCCCATGAATCCGACAAGAGATGAAAAGACGCTTCTGATAGGCCTCTCTTGAAAATGTCCAGGCCACCAGTCATAGATGCTATTGGAGGATCAATGGGTGAGTGTTGGAGAACATCTCTAAAAGGACTGGGAACTAGGCTAAACTTTGTCAAAATTAGGTGATCAACAGAATCAACGTCTTCTGGATGTGAAGTTTGTGAAGGACCCTCACAATCATGGTGAATGGTGGGAAAGCGTAAGCTCCCTGTGGAGACCATAGTTGCTGAAAGGCATCCACCATCGCACATTCTGGTTTGGGAAGCCAACTGTAGAACAGATGGAGTTGACGGCTGATCCTGGATGCAAATTGTCCACTGATAATGGGCCTCACAGGGTGTAGAGGTACTGGAAACTCATCGAAACTCATCGTTTTGCCATTTCAGGATTGCATGTGGAGAAGCTGCCAACAAAGTTCCGTCCTGACATCTTGTGTGAAAGGAACGTAGACGTCAAGCAGAAGTATTCGGGTTCCAGGTGTCGCATTGCCCCGATAATGCAGGGGACCCAGAAAGATTGTCTGTATGGAGGACAACAGGAGACCGACAATCCATGCCAAATGTCATGGAGGGAGTTGATCCTGTCAAAGGAGCTTCCATGCGGGTCACTAAGATCTTTGACTGGGATAGGTGTAGAACACATTGAATGGAATCAATTTAGAACCCCAGAAAGTGTATCACCTGTGCTTGGGTGAGGGCATACTTTTCTTTGTTTACCACAAATCTAGAAATCTTGCTACCAATCCTGTTTGACAGGGAAGTTGCGAAACTATGTTGCAAAACAAGATATCGTCCAGAAGGCAGGAGTTGTCGGCCCACAGGAAATGACGGTAGCTTTGGCTTTCTTGGGCTAGAGGGATGGATAGATCAGTGTTCTTCAGGTCTAGGCGCGTGAACCAGTCTTTTTCTTGTAACAAATCCTGCAAAAGATAAATGCTCTCCATCTTTTTTGCAATTTACATTTTTCTTTATTTTCCAAATTATTTCCAGTAAAGGAAAATGAACAAAAAACAAGGGGATACAGAAAAAAAAAGGGTTTGCGGTACAGTCGGTAGAGTTACATTATTTCATCATATACTCATCATACAATGTTATGTTATACTCATACTTCATTTAAATAAAATTCATAATGTATACGTCCTGACTGCATTTGTTTTGTTTTATTTTCCCTGATAAATACTGGTGTGTCCACTATAAAATTCACCTCAGGGGAATTTAACCGTTACAAAAAGAAAAGAAGGAAAATAAATAAATAAATAAATAAATAAATAAAATTAAAAAAAAAAAATAATAAAAAAATAAAATAAAAATAAAAATGAAAAAAATGTCTCTCTACTCCGGTCTTCATATGTTTAGATTAAACTGACAATAGAGGCTTATATTCAGTTTAGCTGCTTAATGTTGTTAAAATACATTAAGTTAAATTAAGTATTAAATTAAATTAAATGTCCTGCTTATTGTATATGCCTTAAGTTATATTCACACCTAACCAGGATAAATAAAAAGACTCAATTTTAACACCTCATATACCCTCAACGTATGTAATATACCACATCTCTCTTATACTGCAGAGGCTCAATCCTGAAGGGCTGGGCCGATTCGTTTATTTCTACTGGGTTGGATTCTAAATTATATTTCTGATAGTAACCATAGAAAAAATAAGTTTAATTTATCATATCCTGTACTGAATATATACTCCACATATCTATCAAACTTATTTCATTATTGTCTTTGTATATACATTTTCCAACAATTAGCTACTTTTAGACTTAACTTCCCAATTTTAGTCTGATCCCACATGATAAGCTCATAATCTATAGTCAGAGACATTAATGTTTTGATTTCATCTATTGTAGGTAAGCTTGTAGTCTTCCAATTTCTCGCTATAAAGATTGAGACTATAGATAATAATAAAAAGATTAATTTACGCGTAACTTTAGGTATATGGTCCGGAAAAGCTTTGAGAAGTAGCATTTTCGGTGTGTGGTCTGGCTTATAAGATGTCACCTCTTGAATCATTATTTCAACCTCTCGCCATAAGCTATTAACTCTTTCACATGTCCACCAAATATGGAGCATCGTTCCTTTATGAGAGTGGCATCTCCAGCATATATCTTGTGCATCAGAATACATTGCATGAATACGAGTAGGTACCATATACCATCTATATAAGATTTTCCGTGCTATTTCAAAGTGTCCTATACAAGAAGACATTCCCAAATGTGCCGTAAAAATGTTGTTCCATTCATCTTCTGATATGATTTCTTGGATATCAATTTGCCAATCTATCATAAATTTAGGTGTTGCTGTTTCTCTTGAATTTATTAAAATATTGTAACAAAGTGATAGTACTTTCCTAGGTGGAATTAATGCTATGCACATCTCTTCAAATTTCGTGACTAACTTTCGGGTTGTTCGGTGTCCTGCATATAGATTATTATTGGCCAAAAGAGCTTTAATCTGCAAGTATGCAAATTTAAATTGTGGCGGAAGTGTAAATTCTGATTGGAGAGTCGGAAAAGACTTTAACCCCTCTATAGTATAAAGTTTAAAAATGTGTGTAATTCCTTTTCTATGCCATTGTAAATAAGGAAATGTTTCGTTACAACTATGTAAAGTTCTTATAGGGGTTGCCAGTGACCATGGGTACCCTGAACATAAACTTCCTCTATTACTATCCCAAATTTTAAATAGAAGTCTTGTCGGGTACAATATATCAGAGGTTACTTTCCGTTTTTGTGGGGGGAGCCATATTAAAGAATAAAAATCTTGTGTTCCACAACAATGTGCTTCTATTGCTGCCCATTGCGGAGTATATCTTTGTGGGTTAATAGAGGCTATATTGTTTAAGATTGCAGCAGAATAGTATATTTTCAAATTTGGAAACCCCATACCCCCACTTTTCACTTCTCATTATTAAACCTTTTGAAACTCGGGGATGCTTCCCACCCCAACTAAACCGTAGCAATATAGCTTGTAAAGATGTAATAAATGTTTGTGGAACCTTAATCTGTAATGATCTGAATAGGTAAAGTATTTTTGGTAAAATTTGCATCTTAATTGCTGATATTTTACCTATCCATGATAATGATACGTTTCCCCAGGCTTTCAATTGGCTTTCTGTATCTCTAAATAATTTTTTGTAATTGGCTGAAAATAAATCTTTTTCTTTTTTAGTAAATCTGATTCCTAAATAAAGTAGATAATGCTCTCCATCTTAAAGTGTGTGTGTACCACAAAGGAATTCAGTAGTGTAAGGTTTATGATGGCACAGCAGACCCCGTTTACTTCCTGACCAGGGAGATATTGCTGGAGAAGCTGCCATCACTTGGTGTGAACTGGATCACACCTTTTGAGAACAGAATCTGATGAGGGTGTGTTGGTGTAAGGACATACGTATAGGGTATGGTAATCATCCTATACTGGTTTGGTTTAAAACTCAATAATACCACTTTTCACCACCCTGAGTATCCAGGCATTGTTTGCCCAATTATGACAAGAGAAATCAATTCTGCCTGCTTTAAATTGAGGAGAAGCACACAGAATAGGAACACACACACATGTGCAAAATTTTTCTCTCCCTTTGTCACGAGATAAACAAAAACACTGTCCAAACCTCATTGAGCAGCAAAATTCCTGTTCATGGATTCTGGGGAGAAGGAAGCCATAGATCCACTAGTTTTGGGGCATGATGGTCACAACCCTTCTAACAACCAGCCCAAAAAAAAAAACTCCTTAGTGCATATGACTGACCATCCTCTTGAGGGACGTCTGAACCTTGTTTAATGTTGTGAAAAGATTCACATATTTCTACAGTTATTTAAAAAACGCTCCTTTAATAACAGACCTTTAGCCAGAGGTTCCAACTCTTTTGTTGCAAGTTCAAACATCTGGAGGTCAATGCACAACAGTGCAGCTTTATACCTCTCCGGGCCGTGAGCTTCATTACTATTGAGTAGAAGACAGAGGGATCATTGCTCCCACTCCGTGATGCAGTTACGACACAGTTGGGTACCCTGGGAGAGGGCATGATCAGCAAAGTATAAAATCTTGTACTTTGTATCCAGCAGCCTCATGATATCAAGGAGTTTGTTTTGCAGCAGTTTTAGACTATGTTCTATGCCCTTGCGAAGTTGCTGACCAGTCCAGGACATGACATTAAGGAAAGTGAAGTTGAACTCCGGCATCTGAGCAATTTTCTTGGGTAATCCGCCTTCAATCGATGCTTACCTCTTTATCTGGGGGTTTTCTAAACCAAAAATGAATACACTGTGCCAAATTGTCAGGAAGGATCCAATCGTTAGATCTGGGATACCTGATGTGTCTTGAGTTGAAAAAGCGGATGTCCACTGGCATCCAGGTAGATCACACCTGTAGACTGTGGGTCTGGCAGTCACTAGGTGTGGGGCTCACCATCAAAAGGTTCTGTGTCCCCTGGAATAAAGCCTTCTCCAAGGATGCTGACACCACAGCATTTATCAGAGCCTGGAAATCCTCAGTGTTACACTTGAAGAAGCTCCTTGTTCGGCGAAACACGTTGTGTGTGTTTTAATTTTGTTTTTAAGCTTTAAAGTTCATTTGTCTTACACTTATTTTATAGTGCAAGACCATTTATTATACTTTTAATGTTTTTTTTATTAATTTTTTAATACTTTTATTTTTTTTAATTGTTCCTGGCACATTTAAAAACGCCTGAAGTATCTACTCCACTCTCTATCCAATCCCTGGCATGGATTGCCCCCAGGAGAATCTACTCAATAGTATATCATTGGTGGGGATCATACCACCCAAGTGCTATCTCTTAAGCGGTGTTACTGCTCTACTAAATGTTAGTAAATTACCATTTATATTTTTACCTGTTTTTGGTTTTACACAGTAAGCACTATTGTTTGCTTTTTATGTTTTACAATTTTATATTCATTTGGATGCCGTGAGTCTTACCTCTAAGGAGCTACAGATTCATCAGTGGGGATTATACCACTGTATGCTGTTTTACTCAGAGCTGGTCAATGACTTTAGCAAATGTGAGTGTGATCTCACATGACCTTGTTGTGTGTCCTACACTAAGTATCTGGCTATCTGCACTTTTACAGGTTATTTTCTGTTTTATTACATATACTTATAACCAACTGAAGCCTGGACAAATCCAAGCCAGGATCCTCCAAAAATTGGACTCAATACACACAGTATTCAGCGCAACCTGTTTTTTTGTGTATTGTGAAGTCCTGAGTGTTAGCTGGAGAATCACTAATGATTTTGCTTTTTGAAAAATGAATCTAATATGCTGTAATTAAACTCTGACAATATGATATAAAAAAAAATTAAATCAATACACAAATATTAGCAGCAATAGCATAGTTAAGAAACATAAAAAGTATTTTCTTATTTGAGAGATCAAGGTAAATCTTGTTTTTTGTAACTTGAATCCATGTAGACTTGATGTAATGTACTTGAATTCCAGTAGAATTGATGGAATAAGCCCATATGGTAGGTTGGTAGGCTAGTGGCTGGTATGCAGGGAGGCTCACCCCTAAAAAATACAATCAAGGGGGCTCACCCCTTACATACAGCAGTGCACAACAAATGGTAACACTCTGAGAGCACTAGGGGACCCAGCAGTAGTTTTGTATGAGGTATGTGTGTCAATGACTAGACAATTGGTCTTATACACATGAGTGAGGGCTCACCCCAGTTGTACAAAAGGGGGATATAAATTATCACACGTGAGGCATATAAGCACAGCAAGTATGTTGTACTCTTAGGATATAATAAATATATGTGTTCTATGCAATCTGTGTGAAAAAATACCTTGGTAGAAGAGAGAGAATCCAAACTCTCCTGAAACGGGTGCCACTCTTAATGCATAAATGACACGAGAACAGTACAATTAACAAGTAACAGTGAGAAGAGCTAATACTCTGACCTGTGATGGTTGAGAATCAGCAATGAAAGAGGATGTGCCTGTTTTCTCTATGGCCTATATTGCCTCCCATGTTTTTTTCAGATTGATTAATGTTTCTCTTGTTGATTTATGCTGCTGTGGAGCTACTAAAGAAAGACTGAGCAAAATATAAAGCCTCCTGTTATGTCTTAAAATTGCAATACCTTTTTGAATTCTCAGTTAGTCACATTTTACTAAATAAACTTTGCAGTAGAGCCTTTTTAGAGAAGGCGTTTTTTTTAAAAGTTTTTTTTTATTAAGCTTAAAATGTAAATTACTAAGTATGGAGGCCCTTAACATATTCACATATGAATTATTAATTCAGCTTACAATTTCTCCCTCATATGGCTGTGTATAACAATACTGATAAAAGATATAATCTACTTACTCTTGCACTGATAATATATCATAAATATATTTTAAGTTATCAGACAAATGGATAGACATCAAAAGTAATCAATTTTGGCAAAGGTATACATAAAGTAAATACAAGAAAACATAACATCTATGACTATTGTTTAGTATTTTCTAACTATACATGATGTACAAGACAATGCGGTATAATGCATAAATTGTAATACAGTATCTAATATTTCTGCCAAAAGAAAATTTTATAGCTGCAATTCTGTTATTAGTCACTGGGTGTCGCTGTACACTCATTTTTCAATCAAGAGAAAAAAAATTATTATCTTTTTCCTTGTGTGCTTGCAAATTTCAGCCGCCATGACTGTACATCTTTATATTTAACTCAGGAAACAACTGAGAAAATACAAATGCTACTTGTCACTTACTGTCTGTCTGTCCTTTAATGAAGATGGCTTCTTTAAAATGGAAATTAATTGCTAAGGTTATGCATATATTTATTTTAACTACAAATGACTTGTCATCTATCCCTTTGTCAACTACATTATGATATCCCTGAGGAATCCAGACATGGCACTTTTGTTGGAAGAATTTCCCAGGACTTGGGTTTGGAGATCAGTGAGATTAATTCCAGGATGTTAAGGATTGTACCCAGGAATGAAATTGATTATTTCCAGGTAAATCTGCAGAATGGAATCTTATTTGTTAACAACACCATAGATAGAGAAGAAATATGTCTGAAAATAACTGTTTTTGTGTCATCCACCTAGAGATTATATTTGATAATCCTATCCAAATATACCATGTCGATGTTAAAATTGAAGATATCAATCATAATTATCCTATTTTTTTCCTCAAGACAGTTTAGCTTGATCATATCAGAATTAAGGGTGCCTGGATCTCGATTTCCATTAGAGGGCGCAATAGATGCAGATGTTGGCATACATTCTGTCAAAAGCTATGAATTTAGTGTCAATGGATATTTTACGTTAGATACACAGAAAGACAATCACCAAACTGATTCACTTGAACTTGCCTTGAAAAAACCTCTGGACAGAGAAAAGGATCCTTCTTTTAATATAAATCTTACTGCCTTTGATGGAGGGAGGACAAAATTAGGTGGTTACACTCAATTACTTATCACAGTACAAGATGCAAATGATAATGCTCCAACTTTTGATAAGCCAGTGTATGAGGTTCCTTTATTGGAAAATGCACTTAAAGGTTTAGCAGTCAAGTTCCACAAATAGTCAGAGCAACCTTTGACATAGATATGGATACAAGTGAAATTAGAGTGGCCGGAGAAGTGGATTATGAAAAGAACAACAATTATGAGATTCGTGTTGATGCAATTGATAAAGATCAAAAACCTATGGCTGGACATTGCAAAGTGCTTATAAATATTGTTGATATGAATGATAACCCTACTGAACTTACTGTGACTTCACTATCTGTGCCTGTTCCTGAGGATTCATCAGTAGGGACAACAGTTGCAATTATTAGAATTAAAGATAAAGATTCAGGATCTGTAAGTGTACCTCTTAAGTTAAAACCTTCTCTTAGAGAATATTACTCATTGGTGGTAGATATAGAGCTCTGGATCGCGAGGCTACTACTGAGTACAAAGTAGATTTTTTTGCTAAAGATGAAGGTATCCCAATGTCTGTTACAAAAAACATTCAGGTAGCAATCAGTGATGTCAATGACAATGCTCCATCTTTTTCACAAACTTCAGAAACTATATTTATCATGGAAAATAACCCTCCAGGTTCCCATGTATTTAATGTGTCAGCCATAGATTTAGATATAAACCAAAATTCCTTTATAACGTATTCTCTTATTGATGGTTCAAATTCCTATTTCCTCTTATTTGTCTATAAAGCCAGAATCTGGAAAAATATTTGCTTTGCTATCATTTGATTAAAAGTAGATTTATTTTTTCGTGTCATGTAAGAGCAACTGATCCTGGATTACTGCCACTGAGTGGTAACTTGACTCTCAATATTTTTTTAGTGGATATTAATGACAATGCACCTACCTTCTTCCCACCAGTCTCCAACAGTGAATCTGTAGTAGCTGAGATGGTTCCCCGGTAAGCCAAAAGTGGATATCTGATTACAAAAGTAAGGGCAATTGATATGGATTCTGGGTATAACGCTTGGCTTTCTTACTCATTTAAAGACTCTTCTAAACAAACACTATTTAACATCCAACATAATGGTGGAGATTTGACAGTCATGCGACCCACTGTATAGTCAAATCCTGATGAGCATAAACTCTTCATTGTCGAAAGGCTCATGGTCAACCTATTATGTCTGCCACAGTAACTCTTAGAATTATATTAGTAGAAACAATGCAAGAAATTAAAATTGAACATAACCTCAAAGGGGTTCAAGATGAAGATTTCTCTAATCCAAATGTCTACCTAATAATGGCAATCTTTATGATATCAGTTATTTTTCTTATTACACTTATTGCGTATACTGTGATAAAGTGGCAGCAATACACAATGGAATTAAAGGAATTTAAGCAAACACATTGGACACATTCGATGCAAAGGCAGTACAAGTTATGTGTCAATGGAATTCCATCTAAAATTACTTGATAGTGTTTACTCTAAACTTTAATCCACCCTCAGATAATGAAGATTCTAATCAACAAGAATTCCTCACAGGCTCATCTGGGAAGGTAAAATACAGTTAATTCTACATTTAATAAAATATATATTTTCAGTGATTTTATGAATTTGTTTTATAGAGGCCTCAATTTAATATTTTTGGTTAAGCTTTTCAAATAAGGAATAAAAACAAGAGTAATATAACCACTGTATGCAATACGTACAACACCCACTTAAAAAGTGTGCCCTCTATACACCAATCAACTAGTAAAACTAGACATACAAATAAGTAGGGTGTAAGTGAAACAAATGGTATTTCCCAGAACTAGGAAGTAATAAGACCTTAATCAATAGCAAAATGGATGTTTCCAGATATCTAGTAAGGAGACAAAATTGACATAGGGTAGTATAGTCAGGTGTAAGTTAACCCACAATATATAAATTGCACTCACAAGAACCTGGATGAATTCAAGCCCATCATGTGTATATCAGCGTGTAAGATGGATCTGCTCCTGATCAGGGGTGATTATTTTAAGCTTGTAATTAAAGCTGAAAAAGAAAACTAGTGTTAGATTACACTTACAAGATCAAGGCGAAAACCGGCATATCTCCAAATTCATCGGCTCTAAACGATGTCGACGGGATCGGGAACCAGCCGTGTATATAGGTAAAACAATGGAAAAAAAAAATGTAATGAATTCCCAGAGCAAAACAAACCCAGAGTCCCCAATAAATGTATCCAATGCGTTTTGTCATAGTCGACTTCTTCAGGGATATCTGTCCCCTCATCAGCACTCTCCACTTAAATAGTGATAGTGATCCTAAGATGTGTGTCAGCTGTGTCCCGGAATAGTAGCGTGCGTTTCACGCTGGAACACTTTGCTGCATCCGGTCTGTGATCTCGTCATATGCTTTTCTTGGACGTCTTAACAAAGGAACAAAGGACGTAATGCGTTTCACAATGGAACGCAAGATCTACTAATTTTATCCTATGCATTCAGGATGTATAGGTGAAAAAAGAGGATCGATATATACATAACAAATAGTTGAAATTCGGGATCTCTCTGATGACCTGTACTTAATGTTCAAAGTATGCAATCTTAAGTAGACTCAGAATTCAATTTAAAGGGCCTTGAACCCCCCCAAAATATATTAAAAAATATATAAAAAAATCGAATTAATAATAAATATGAAAATAAAAGAGTATATATATATATATATATAAAAAATTTATATGTATAAAACGTGTTGAACATAAAACAAGGAAATATACATTCTTAAGCTTTTAAAATGAGTTCATATTTTCAATATAAACAAATAAATATTTTTTTTAAAATATAAAAACATAAAAAAAGTATAAAAATAATTTCAATATATAAAAAATGAAAATGTTTACAAAAAATTAAATAATTTTAAAAGCTTATGCAGAAATTTTAACTCATGTGAAAAGCTTATCCAAATATTAAATCAAAGTCATAATTAGATATGTGAATCACAAATCTTAAAATAGTTTTCATTATTCTCAATGGCCAGCGTATTTGCTATTGAGAAGTTTTGTGATTTTTTTTTTATATGCACTTTTGATATTCTAATTTAAGCTGTGGAATTGATCTAGACAACTGAATTGTTGTTAAAAATAATGGCTTACAAAAATAATGGTATTCTTTAAAAAAAAAAAAAAAATCTCTGCCCAGTCTAATAATTTTTCAGTTACACCTTTTTGAGTGTCTCTTGCTGCCTAGTGACTATTTTTGCCAATAGCAATAAAGCATTTTTTTATTTTTAATTATGATACCTATGCTTATTAAGTATATACTACAATGAAGTCATATTTCCAATCAACACAGTTGTTGTGGTATCATATTTAAAAAAATAATTATTCTACCAAAATTGAGCTGAAATGCATTTATCTAAATGTTATGAATATAGCACTGTAACATAATAAAGGTTCTTATAATAATCATAGTATTCTTAGTATAGTATTATTTTTGGTTATATTCCTGCAGGGTTTTTAAGTATATCCGGTGTCATAGCTGCTATTATTGCTAACTACTAATGGTACTCATTTAAATAACGATAAAATAATTAAAGTTGGAGTTGACCATGCTAGGAACTTGCAAGTATTTAACCTGTATAGATAATAAATTTTGTGCATCAACCAACTAAACAATGCTACCCAGATACATTAGTGTATTTGCCTTTTAACATAGTCAATAAGTATATTAAACCCATTACATACCAAGGGAAAGCAGGGCAATTAAACAATCTGTGCCTTGCAGATTTTATTCCAGAATGATATATCCTTCATATTTACTAACAACAGTTATGTAAATCTCGCTTGTGACAGAACCATCTGTCTGTCTATTATGGTGGATTCGTCTATTTCTGCCCCCTTTCGTGTAAATGGCTGTTTCTATAGCCCAGCGATACGAATGACTGTTTTTCACCGAACAAATCTACCGAACGGATGGCCACCCAGGATAGAAGTGTGCTGCTGGTTAACCTCTTGATCCCAATTAGAATGTTGCGGTTAACCGCAGACACTTCTCAATTAAACCGAATTCAGGGTGGCCATCGTTCGTATGTCGACCACGAGGCAGCGGCCATTTTAAAACACACGAAAGCCCAGCGGTGTTCGGCACTGATTTCATGGAACTAAAAACGGACACTTTTTCTGCCGAACACCGCTGAAACAACGGGTCGCCTGGCTGCCTCGATGAAAGCATACAAACACCGGCCGTTCGGGAGTTTTACAGCACACGAAAAGACTTAACCCAGATAGCCTTCCCATGGAGTCAATCGCATACTGAAAGACTGTAAGGACTTTGACTCCATGGCGATTGAACTACGCGTATGGGATCTGAGCGCTATTCGCCAATAATATGCCCTCAGATCCAGGCTATCTGGGGATATGTGATGTGAATGTGAAATGTTCGGTTGTTATAAAGTTATGTATTTTCATGTATTTTCTGGTCTTTTACTTAAAATGGCGATGGGTCTTTGTCCTGGAGATAATTGAATTACTTCCCAATTATCTCCAGGGCAGAGGGGAGGTAACCATACTGCATTGTGGGAAAATCTTGTGACTGTATGTCTGATATGTCCTCCTGTACATCTGTAATTCCAGTCTCCCATTTGGTCCCCTAGGGGAGTGTCCACCAAGTGGGAGACCTGCATAAATACGGGCAGATAGCCCACAGTAAAGCCCGATCCTGTTTGACCCTCAATGCGGAAGCTTCTGTCTCATTATTGGGGGGAATTATTATTTACGCCTAGAGACTGATTATTGGAACCGAAAGCCGCTCGGTGGATATCGTTGTTCAGGCGGTTAGCAGCAGTTCGTGGATTTCTGTTCGGGAGTTTGGAGCCTTTCACGGGAGATTACCGCTTCCCCTGATGGTGGTTCGTATACTGCAGTCTATGCGAATGGAGTTATTGATATTGCGAAAGGGGAAGGTTAACTAAACGGCGGTTTCTCTTAAAGACCAGGGGTGTCTTAACAATTGGTGGCAAGCGACGGGTTGAATCCCACAGCACAGAAGGTCGGCTACACATCCCAAATTGGTGGAAGAAATGCAGTATGAGGAATTAAGGCATACTTGAGCGCTGAGGATGGTCAGCAAGTAATCTGAAGAAACGTGAGATTATTGCTTTATTATTGGAAATGGATGCAACACAGGGAATGGAGAGAGCTAATGTGCCCAGCATTTTGGATTTAACACCTGAGGAAATACAATTTAACCAGGCAGTGCAAATAAGGCTGGCACACTTTGGCCCCAACCCCTCAGCAGACATCGTGGAACGTGTGCAGGCAGCAGTGATGGCACACCAAACGCTCCAGGAAAGAGGAGCTGCAGCAATAGAGGTACCTAATAACAATTTTGGAAGGAAAAAGGTACCCTTTGCTGCGTTTAAAATTTTTATTGAAACGGAGGGAGAGATTGATGGGTTCCTGGCTGACTTTGAAAGGCAGTGTGCACTACACCATGTATCCACAGATGAATGGGTCACCATCCTCTCTGGGAAATTATCTGGCCGGGCTAGTGAAGCATTTCGGGCCATCCCAGAGGAGGAGATCACCAGCTACCGGGCAGTGAAAGATGCGCTCATAGCCAGGTATGCGGTGATCCCAGAAGCATACAGATGACGCTTTAGGGAGACTAACAAGCAGGTTGGTGACTCCTATGTAGAGTGGGCCTGCAGGGTTCACCGTACCGCAGCACACTGGATGCCAGGATGTCAAGCGGTAACTGGGAAGGAGGTGCTGCAGGTGTTTTTGCTGGGACACTGCTTCGACAGATTGCCTACCGGGGTCCGGGAGTGGGTCAGAGATAGAAAACCCTCTACCCTACCCGAGGCTGCCCGCCTGGCAGACGAATATACAAACGTCCGCAAGTTGGACAGTACAGCTGCCAAAGTTCCTGCCAGAATGCAGTATCAACCAACAGCAACTCCAGCACCTACAGCATACCAACCCCCAGTACACCGCACCCCAGCAGTACCGCCAGCGAACAATTACATGCAAGCCTCCCAGTTCAATGCCAGGGATTATTCGCAGCCAATTCGGTGCTTTGGGTGTAAACAGTTGGGGCACAAGCGACCAGAATGCCCACTGAACAGCGCTAATCAAGCTCAGTCCTGGCGGAGACTAGCCAGCGGAAATCAACGGCCACCTCAGCCTTCTGCTCACTGTATCGAGCAGGAGGAATTCTGGGGCATCCTACACGAGGCCGACCCAGTGCAAGCAGCTCATCAAGATAATCGTCAGCAACACCGGCAGACTGTGAAGCTGAATGGCAGAGTAGTGAATGGACTGAGAGACACAGGAGCCACCATGACACTGCTCCAAAAGAACTTAGTCTCAGAACACCAGCACACTGGAGACACTGTGGCAGTGAGGGTAGCAGGAGGCACCGTGTTCCGCTTACCTGTTGCCCGGGTCCATTTGGATTGGGGAATGGGCGCTAGATACGTGGATGTGGGGGTTATGAAAGACTTGCCCGCTGATGTTCTTCTTGGGAACAATTTGGCCCCTTTGGTTTCTGCGTATGCCCCAATGGGCCCTGCTGACGTTAACCCAGTGACTACTCGTGCTCAGACCCGTGCTACTGGAACCGGCTCACCTGCTGTTGAGACCCAGATAAGACCCTCTTCCCCGACTGGTACCTTAGATCAGGCCCCCTTAAGCTGGGATTCCTCAGAGGGGTTTGGGAGGGAAACCCGGGCTGATCAGACTCTCCAGAAATACCGAGATAGAGCAGAGGCTGGAGAGGAAGGAATAGATGGGGAGCGGTATGAGTGGGTGGGGGACAGGTTATATAGGATCCCTAAGCCTTCCCAGAAGAGTGTTGCCCCTCCGCCGAATCGACAGCTAGTGGTACCTGCAAAGTACCGGCAGGAGATTCTGCGGATAGGGCATGATGTTCCTTTAGCTGGACATCTAGGGTCCCGCCGCACAGCCTATAGGATCTCACAGAACTTCTTTTGGCCCAACTTTAACCAGGCTGTGCGGATGTATTGCAGTACGTGCGACACCTGTCAACGGGTAGGAAAGCGGGGGGTCCACCCTAAGGCTAGATTATTATCGATGCCTATTATAGGGGAGCCCTTTTCCCGCATAGCTGTTGACATTGTGGGTCCACTGGCCAGGGCTAGCCCATCCGGTAAGAAATATATTCTCACTGTGGTGGGCTATGCCACTCGCTATCCAGAGGCAGTAGCGCTGTCTAATATAGAGGCAGAGACAGTTGCTGATGCCCTGGTTAGAATTTTTACTAGGGTTGGGTTCCCTAAGGAGATCCTCTCCGACCAGGGAACCCAATTCACCGCTGTGCTCACTCAGCAGCTGTGGAAGGTGTGTGGCATTAAACCGTTGCTTAGCTCACCCTACCATCCACAGACTAACGGTCTCTGCGAGCACTTTAACGGTACCCTCAAGCAGATGCTGAGGACCTTTACTGATACTTGCAGAGACTGGGAGAGGTTCCTGCCTCATCTGTTGTTTTCTTACAGAGAGGTGCCCCAGGAATCTACTGGGTTCTCCCCCTTTGAGTTGCTGTATGGGAGAAGGGTCCGCAGACCCCTAGATCTCATCCGGGGCCACTGGGAGGGGGAGACGGAGCAGAAGGGGACCCCCATCGTGCCATATGTCCTGGAACTCTGGGACCGCATGGAGAAACTGTCCCTGATGGTAAGGGAGAATCTCCAGGCGGCCCAGGGGAGACAGAAGAGATGGTACGATCAGGGTGCCCGACAGAGGGTCTTCCAGGTTGGGCAAAAGGTATTGGTGCTCACACCTGTGAAGGCAAACAAGATGCAAGCATCTTGGCAGGGCCCGTACAGAGTAGTAGCGCAGATCTGCGATACTACTTACTTGATAGCCAGCTGTACAGATGAAAGGGTTAAGAGATCCTTTCATGTGAACATGCTGAAAGAGTACCAGGAGAGACCTGAGAATATTGCAGCAGTATGTGCCCCGGCTGCAGATGATCCTGAGAATTTACCCCTTCCCGATTTGTTAGAAAGGGACCCCCAGACTGACCTCACTACCCTTGTACAGCTAGGGGACAGGTTAAACCCCACAGAAAGGGTGCAGGCGAAGCAGTTGTTATGGGAGAAGCAGGCGACATTCTCCCAGGAGCCAGGTTATACTACCCTAGCTGTACATAAGGTCGAGACCCCTGGACAGACCCCCTTATGACAGCCGCCCTATTGTATCCCTGAAGCAGTCCGAGAAGGAATGCGGAAGGAGATACAGGAGATGACCCAGCTTGGGGTCATCGAGCCATCCGACAGCCCTTGGGCCTCGCCTGTAGTCCTGGTGCCCAAGAAGGACGGGACCACCCGGTTCTGTGTGGACTACAGGTGACTCAACGAGCGGACCACCACTGACGCCTACCCGATGCCCCGGGTAGACGAATTACTGGATCGTATTGCCAGGGGGCGCTACCTGACCACCATAGACCTGTGTAAGGGCTACTGGTAGATCCCCCTGGCCGAGGATGCTATCCCCAAGTCGGCATTCGTCACCCCATTTGGCCTGTACCAATTTAAGGTCATGCCTTTTGGGATGAAGAATGCCCCGGCTACCTTCCAGCGGATGGTGGATAGACTCCTGGATGGCTTCCAAGAATTTGCCTGTTCATACTTGGACGACATTGCGATCTACAGTGGGTCCTGGGAGGAACACCTGGTTCATGTAGGGGTGGTACGGGATAAGATTCAGGCCGCTGGCCTTACATTGAAGCCAGAGAAGTGCCATCTAGTTATGGCGGAAGTACAGTACCTGGGTCACAGAGTGGGATGTGGGAGCCAGAGACCAGAGCCAGCCAAGGTAGAGGCAGTGGCTAACTGGCCCACACCTACCCAGGTATTGGCCTTCTTGGGGACGGCAGGGTACTACCGACGTTTTGTCCCTGACTACAGCACTATTGCTAAGCCCCTGATGGACCTGACAAAGAAGAACTTGCCTAAGCAGGTCCTGTGGTCTCCGGCTTGTGAAGCTGCGTTCCAGGCACTGAAACTGGCTCTTGTGAATGCCCCTGTCTTGGCTGCGCCAGTCCCTAACAAACGCTTTCTCGTTGTATGGACTGGGGGCTGTGCTGAGCCAAGTCGGGGAAGATGGAGGAGAGCACTGTTAAGACACCTCCGGTGTCTTTAAGAGAAACTGCCGTGTAGTTCACCTTCCCCTTTTGCAATATCAATAATCCATTCGCATCAATTGTAATCCACGAACCATAACCAGGGGAAGCGGCAATCTCCCGGCCAGGATCCGTGAAAGGCTCCAAACTCCCGAACGGAAATCCACGAACTGATGCTAGCCGCCGAACAACGATATCCACTAAGTGGCTTTCGGTTCCAATCAGCAGTCTCTAAGCGAAAAGAAGAAATCCCCCCAATAACGAGACAGAAGCTCCGCATTGAGGGTCAAACAGGATCTGGCTTTAGTGTGGGCTACCTGCCCGTATTTATGCAGGTCTCCCACTTGGTGGACACTCCCCTAGGGGACCAAATGGGAGACTGAAATGACAGATAGACAGGGGACATTTCAGACATACAGTCACAGGTTTTTCCCACAATGCAATATGGTCTCCTCCCCTCTGCCCTGGAGATAATTTAGAAGTAATTCAATTATCTCCAGGACAAAGACAAATCGCCATCTTAGATACAAAACCAGAAAATACATAAAAATACATAATTTGAAAATAACCAAACATTTCTTATTCACATCACATATTCCCAGATAGCCTGGATCTGAGTGCATATTACTCCATGGGAAGGCTATCTGGGTTAAGTCCTTTCGTGTGTTTTAAAACTCCAGAACGGCCGGTGTTCGTACGTTTTCGTGGAGGCAGCCAGGCATTCCGTTGATTCAGCGGTGTTCGGCAGAAAAAGTGTCCGTTTTTAGTTCCATGAAAATAGTGCCGAACACCGCTGGGCTTTCGTGTGTTTTAAAATGGCTGCTGCTTCGTGGTCGACATACGAACGACGGCCATCCTGAATTCGGTTTAATTGAGAAGTGTCTGCGCTTAACCACAGCATTCTAATTGGGATCAATAGGTTAACCAGCAGCACACTTCTCTCCTGGGTGGCCATCCGTTCAGTAGCTTTGTTCGGTGAAAAATAGTCATTCGTATGGCTGGGCTATAGGAAACAGCCATTTACATGAAGGTGCAGGAAAAAGATGAATCCACCACAATAGTCAGATGTATGGTTCTGTCACAAGCACCCTGTCGCATATCTCAGCCGAAAGTTGTTACCCAGAGAAGTGAGTTATGTGGCAGTGGAGAAGGAGTGTTTGGCCTTGGTCTGGGCATTGAAAAAGTTACGTCCCTACTTATATGGGCAAGAGTTTTCCCTTGTGACTGATCATAACCCACTCGTCTGGCTTAACCGGGTCTCAGGAGACAATGGTAGACTGCTGAGGTGGAGCCTGGCACTACAGCCCTACAATTTCACTATCAGCTACAGACCCAGTAAGCAGAACGGGAATGCAGATGGGTTATCCCGGCAAACTGACATCTCCACCACCTTCTAGTCCGGTCATCCCCACGTTGACCCGCCAAAGGGTCAAGCCGGGTCTGCAGGAGTGTCCCACAAGGAGGGAGCCGTGTGACAGAACCATCTGTCTGTCTATTATGGTGGATTCGTCTATTTCTGCCCCCTTTCGTGTAAATGGCTGTTTCTATAGCCCAGCCATACGAATGACTGTTTTTCACCGAACAAATCTACCGAACGGATGGCCACCCAGGATAGAAGTGTGCTGCTGGTTAACCTCTTGATCCCAATTAGAATGTTGTGGTTAACCGCAGACACTTCTCAATTAAACCGAATTCAGGGTGGCCATCGTTCGTATGTCGACTACGAGGCAGCGGCCATTTTAAAACACACGAAAGCCCAGTGGTGTTCGGCACTGATTTCATGGAACTAAAAACGAACACTTTTTCTGCTGAACACTGCTGAAACAACAGGTTGCCTGGCTGCCTCGATGAAAGCGTACGAACACCGGCCGTTCGGGAGTTTTACAGCACACTAAAAGACTTAACTCAGATAGCCTTCCCATGGAGTCAATCGCATACCGAAAGACTGTAAGGACTTTGACTCCATGGCAATTGAACTATGCGTATGGGATCTGAGCGCTATTCGCCAATAATATGCCCTCAGATCCAGGCTATCTGGGGATATGTGATGCGAATGTGAAATGTTCGGTTGTTATAAAGTTATGTATTTTCTTGTCTTTTACTTAAAATGGCAATGGGTCTTTGTCCTGGAGATAATTGAATTACTTCCCAATTATCTCCAGGGCAGAGGGGAGGGAACCATACTGCATTGTGGGAAAAGCTTGTGACTGTATGTCTGATATGTCCTCCTGTACATCTGTAATTCCAGTCTCCCATTTGGTCCCCTAGGGGAGTGTCCACCAAGTGGGAGACCTGCATAAATACGGGCAGATAGCCCACAGTAAAGCCCGATCCTGTTTGACCCTCAATGCGGAGCTTCTGTCTCGTTATTGGGGGGAATTATTATTTACGACTAGAGACTGATTATTGGAACCGAAAGCCGCTTGGTGTATATTGTTGTTCGCGGCTATCAGCAGTTCGCGGATTTCTGTTAGGGAGTTTGGAGCCTTTCACGGATCCCATTCAGGAGATTACCGCTTCCCCTGATGGTGGTTCGTATACTGCAATCTATGCGAACGGAGTTATTGATATTGCGAAAGGGGAAGGTTAACTAAACGGCGGTTTCTCTTAAAAACACCAGGGGTGTCTTAACATCGGTACTGCTAACTAAGTTACATCTATATCAGAGTAGTAACGCTGAAGAGCTGATAGTTATAAAGACATGGAATGTTAGTTGTAGGATTACTGAAAATGTAATATTATATTTCATAGTTTTAAAATCTAGATTATCAGGGATCCTTAATAAGAGAATGGAAAAGATATGGAATGTCCTTACAGGTCCCTAATGGATTAATGAAAACCTGGATATTTTATCATTATTATATTAAAAAATATTTGCTAACAAATACCTCTTTTCCTAAGAGGTTTTTTGTTTTTTAGAAAATCCATCTTTCTTGACTTTTCAAACCTGGCATGGATTCCAAAATAGATAATAGACAGATTAGTTTTCAGTTTGAATAACAAACTATAAAAACATATTAACTAACATTTATGTTATTAGATATGAAAATATTGGTTCTACCAGCACGCTCTTTTTTGGTAAATGTTTTAACTTGTGCATACTTATGTGGGATTTTGAATAATTACTTACTAAATGTATAATGTATAATGTAATCCTCATCATTTTAAATAATTATAGCTGTTCACTACGTAAAAATGATATCTAAAATTAATATCCAAAGACAACACCGGCGGGAACATTTATTTTACTAGGAAATATAATTGTTTTGATCTCTTAAAGTACTTTCAAAAATATATATATATTGATTATGACACACAAACTAGGTATAGGTTATATGTTTAATTTCTGGCATAATCTTGAAATTATATAATTTCCAAATGGTGCCAAAACTACACAATGAGTTGCCTTTCTTGAAATATATTCAGAGAATTATATTTTACAATTCCACGATTGGCCACCGGATGTAGCCCTTGCCTAATTTTTGCAAACAGAAGGAACACTGAGAAATTCCACATTTTCTAAATACCTTACCTTGCATTTCTCTCTGTCTGATAACTGGGTGTTCCTTCAACAGCATTTTTAAATATTATAACTACTCTTCAAATCCAACAATATATAGCAATGCATCTGCAACACAATGACTGCTCAGCTACAGCAAGACTGCTTGTTGTCTTCTTGATACAAATGGCTGCTGATCTTGTTCTGAGTCAGCTCCATTATATAGTGCCAGAAGAATCTAAACATGGAACATTTGTTGGGAGAATTGCTCAGGATCTTGGTCTGCAGATCAGTGACATTAATGCCAGAAGATTAAGAATTGTCTCTAAGGATGACACAGACTATTTCCAGGTAAATTTACAAAATGGGATATTGTTTGTTAATAAGATGATAGACAGAGAACAATTGTGTCCAAAGATTAATGTTTGTATTATTCAGTTAGAAATAATTTTAGATAAACCTGTACAGATTCATCATGTAGATGTGGAAATTGAAGATATAAATGATAACTATCCCATTTTTTCATCTAAAGAATTCAAATTATTCATAGTTGAATCCAGGTTGCCAGGCTCTCGCTTCCCACTAGAGGGTGCTGTAGATGCTGATGTTGGAACAAATTCTATCACAAACTATGAACTCAGTGCAAGTGAATACTTTGCATTAGATATTCAAACATATACACAGAAAAGCAAATCTGTCCAACTTGTGTTGAAGAAGATACTTGACAGAGAACAGATCCCTTGTCATACACTTGCCTTTACAGCATATGATGGGGGCAATCCAAAATTAAGTGCCACTGCTGAACTTATCATCACAGTTCAAGATGTGAATGATAATGCTCCTGCTTTTGACAAGTCATTTTACACAGTAAATTTATTAGAAAATTCTCTGAAAGGAACTGTTGTCACTAAGTTAAATGCAACAGATTTAGATGAAGGGGAAAATGGGGAAGTAATTTATGCATTTAATAAAGTAGTGCCACAAGAAGTTACATCAACATTTAGCATAGAAAAACATACTGGCATTATTAGAGTTATGGGGGAGGTAGATTTTGAAAGTTATAATATTTTCGAAATTGAGGTTGATGCTGTTGATAAGGGCCAGTATGCTCTTGCGGGGCACTGTAAAGTGATAGTAAACATAATTGATCTGAATGACAATCCTCCTGAAATGACAGTGACTTCTCTCAACGTTCCTGTTCCTGAGGACACATCTGTTGGGTCAGTTGTTGCTGTCATCAGTGTTCATGACAGAGATTCTGGACTGAACGGGAAGGTGAACTGTCGCATCTCTAAAACTGTTCCTTTCAAAATAAAATCAACACTAAGAGAGTACTTTTCATTGATAGTGGATGGAGAACTAGACCGGGAAAAAGTTTCTGAATATGAAATTGAAATAATAACAACAGATGAAGGTTTGCCGTCTTTTTCGGTAAGTAAATTAATAAAGGTACAAATAAGTGATGTGAATGATAACTCCCCAACCTTCATCCAAGTATCAGAATCAATAACTATAAAGGAAAACAATCCTCCGGGTTCTCATGTCTATACTGTATCAGCTTCAGATGCCGATATCAGTCAGAACTCCTTCATCACATACTCCATTATAGACAGTTCCATTGATGGAATTCCTATATCTTCCTTCATCTCCATCAACCCAGAAAATGGAAAGGTATTTGCTTTGCTATCATTTGACCATGAACAGGTATCGTATTTTAAGTGTCAGATAAAAGCTAGCGATGCTGGATTACCTCCACTCAGCAGCAATCTTACAATGAATATATTCATTGTGGATATTAATGACAATGCCCCAATCATTCTCATACCCTTTTCTAATAGTGAAACTAAAATGACAGAGTTAGTTTCAAAATCAGCTAAAGAAGGTCATCTTGTTACTAAAATCAAAGCAATTGATGCAGACTCGGGATACAATGCTTGGATTTCTTATGGATTCAAGGATCTTACTCAAAATGTTCCATTTGCTATTGGACGCCAAACCGGAGAAATCACAGTCATTCGTCCCCTCACTGACTCAGATGGAAATGAATACAAATTGACTGTTTTGCTGAAAGATCATGGAGAACCAGAAATGTCTGCAACAGTGACAATAGCTATCATACTTGTTGAATCTGGGCAGGATCTGCCATTAGAGAGAAAGACCTTTCCTAACAGAAAAGATGATGAATTTCCAGATGCCAATATTTATCTCATTATGGCAATTTGTTTAATTTCCACCGTATTCCTTATAACACTCATTGTGTATACTGTCTTACGATGGCAGAAGTATACACAAGAAATTAATGCACTGAAACAACATAATTTCTGCCCAAGCATTGCAGGAAGTTGGACTTACTCTCAACAGCGTCAGTATCAGGTTTGTTTGAGTGGAGGACCACCCAAAAATGATTTAATACTTTTTACTCCAAACTATCCTCAAGCATTAATGGATGACACAATTTCCAATAATGGGAGCTTGACGTCAGAAGTTGCTGGACAGGTAAGATTCTACTGAATATATATTCCATTAAGGTATTTATAAAAAAAAATGCTACTTTTATTCATCACTGTATGTAAAAGGATAGAATAGGCATCAAAGCCACTTTAGTTTAATAAAGCAGTTTTGGTGTAAAGATTGTGCCCCGGCAGTCTCACTGCTCAATTCACTGCCATTTAGGAGTTAAATCAAATTTTTTCCTTTTATTTTCATTTAAGCAGTTCTAGCCACACCTCCCCTGGCTGTCACTCATACAGTCTGCATGAAAACAAAATGGTTTCATTTTCATCTTAACTTACTTTACTAGTTTTTATCTCTTACCCTGTAACATGAACTTTAAAAACACACAGGAAGTTCCTACAGGGTCTATCAGGCTATTAACAGAGCAGGAAATATAAATTATTATTTATAAAACGCCAACAAATTCTGCAGTGATGTAGAATATGTGAAATAACAGACAAGTATTTGCAACAAGATGAGTTGGATGCACCGAAACAGAGGATGATAATGGCCCTGCTCAAACAAACTTAGAAATTAAACCAGACTGTGCAATAAAGAAAGTTTAAACATTAGCTCTCTCTTTACAGGAAGTGTTCAGGAGGCTGTGTAAACCACATACAGGGTAGGTGTGACCAGGGCTATCGTGAGATAGCAATGCAAAGAAACATAAATAAGTGTAAGCCTGTGGAAATCGCAGGATGTGTAAAATTATACCAGTAGGTGCTGCACCTGGAAAGGTGGGATACCTGGTCCAAGCGTTGGGCTACTCCACACAATATGCCTAAGGAAGTAAGCAGTTGTTTGCATACTGACGTGCAATTTCCATTATTTTTGTATTTTTATGAATTCATAATAAAGCACATTTCATATGGCTCTGGACTATTCTATTTTATTATAACCTATGCTGTGAACAGAGGACATTTTGTATGATCTACATACCAAAACTGCTTCATTAAGCTAAATTTGTTATTGTGCCAATAGTATCCCTTTAAAAGTAATTGTCAGATAAATTTTAATATGCAGCCAAGTAATGTATATTTAACTCAAAGAGTGTTTTATATAATACTGTTTTTTAATATTAAATGTTTTTTTTAAAATAAAACTGTACCAACTAATATAAGGTGAAGATTAGCCGCTGACCTTTGTTAAAAACATTAGAGCATTGAAAGAATAACATTTACTGAAGGGTGGGAAAGGCATGATCCAGGTGTGGTTGAGAAAGAAATGGGCAAGGTGGTGATAATTCTTTCCTTAGCTGTTCAATCTTGTCGGTAAAGTAGCATGCAAAGCTATTGGCTGAAAGGTTAGTTTGGGGGAGGGCCACAGCAGGGCATTATTTGGTCACTGACTGTGAATTAAAATGTGTCTGTATAAGAATATAACCATTTTCATAAATTAGAGGGGGTACAGCTTTTCCTCAAAATGTTCATCATGAAATTTAGATATCCGTAATTTACCCAATTGTTTTTGCAAATCCAACATTGATTCCATTATGACAACACTTATCATATCTACTTACATTTTTGTGTAATGTGTAAAATTAGAGTATTTCAAGGGCAAATATAATTTTTAGGGAAAATGTTATGGTAGTTTGTTATGTGGGATTCAATTATATCACACATGTACATATTAACATATTAACTAAAGATACTTGATTATTAATGGTTCAGTTTCCTTTTAATTAGTTAATTAATTTTTTTGACAATTTGTGATACTGAGTAGTTTTTATATTTTAGAAATCATCTGTTAACATTTTACAGTTTTATTAAATTATGAACACCTATTTAACACAGATTTTCATGTTGTACATTTTTATTTATCATGATATTGGCATTTTGGGAGGGAAATATGGTGTGATAATTTGAATTATGTAATGGAACCTGTAGCATAGTACTTTGAAGCCAAAAGGTTGTCCAACAAAAGTGTTTGGGGCTTTAATCCACATAAAAATAAAAAAAGATAGAATATGATTTTATGTTAAATATGATACTAGACAAATAAAATGGTTTAATTCTAGAAAAAAAAACACACTGTGGTAACCTTATGAAGTGAGGAGATAAATGGAAAATATCTAATTTATCTGATGATCTAGTTGTTTCCATTTCCTAATGGTCAAATAATATATACTGTATTGCAACACAGAGCAACATGCCATCATAAATTTGTAGTACATCCTCTATGAGAACAGAAAAAAAAAAGGAATTACGTAAGCAGTATTTACAATCGATCTTAATAACTCTATTACTGTTGCATAATCTGCTTTAACATCTACAATACTAAAACTTTTCTTAAGTAATTTTCTAAAACCAAAAAATGTTCCTACAAAAACTTTGGATTCGAAAAAACTTGTAAATCTCCTGGTGGGGACACTTCAGATATTGTATTCATTTGGGGTTTCTTTGTTCTCGATATTAAGTTTGTGAAACTTCATTGAATCATATCCAATCAATGAAAACAGACAGGAAAGGGCTGCACCACATACAGTAAGATCAAATAAATTGAAGTAAAATAAAACAAGAATAAAAAATACTATGAGTCTTGTTTCAGCTGTGCAAACAGTCACATTTGAAAGTGTCTCTTATTAAAACAGTAGGTTCAGCTGTAGTTCCTAGGTTCTTTTACGTCTGGAGGATGTGGGAGGTCTGGGTGTCTTTGGTCTCCGTATGTGGGCAAAGAAGAGACAGAGATAACCTAATAGTGCAATATGTCAAGACTTAGTAAGCCATAATGATATTGCACTCACATACGGGAGCTTTAGCCAGCTCTAGTGTGAATTGCCTATAGTGGTATAATCCTCACTATTGGGATATTGTGAAGGTTGGTCTCAGCTGGTGGAAGCCTAGGTGCTCAGAGAAGAAATAAATATATATAAATAGCCACAGATAGTGCATTCAGTAAAACAATTGTAGTTGCGTAAAATGTAAAAATATGGTACTCACAAGTGGGCAGGCTCACTGCTCTATATTGACAGCATTGGTGGTATGATCCCCACCTGGGATTTTCTCTGCTTTTCAATTGGTCCAGCCACTGCACACTGAGTGTAAAGGGGATCCAAAAATCACAGGGGGAACTGAACCTAGGGCTGCCCGGCTGGTACTCGGCTCGGCGGCAGCGGACAGGGTGTGGGCGGAGGGTCACAGTGAAGTTACCCGGTTTAGCATAAAAACTTCACATAGGACTCTATCCATCCAAGATTTTTGGATCCCCTTTACACTGTGATTTTTGGAAAATTCAAATTTCAAATTCAATTTCTAATTTGATTTAGAGCTATATCTCTCAAATTCAAACATGAGGTTAGGGAGATAAGTTTAGTTTTCAAAATATGAACATCATTTGCATATATACATATCTTTAATTTATTATCACCTGCCTGAATATATTTAATTAAATGGTTTATATCTTATGTTGACTGTGAGATGTTCAATGGACAATATGGACAAAAAAGGTGATAGAGGGCAACCCTGTCTGGTCCCATGAAATATTCAAAACCAGTCAGTACAAAAATCAAGGCCCAATATCCGTGCCAATGGTGTGGAGTACAAAGCTCCTATCTCCTTGGCAATCCAACCCTCAAAAACACAAGAAGTGATAACTACTCTCAAATATCTCTATGTGACCCTGTTAAAGGCCTTCTCTGCATCCACCGACAGAGTCAGAATTGGAATTAAGTTTTATTCTCTACTATACTAAGGTGGAGTTATGACAGTATTATTTTGAAACACTTTGATAATTAGAGGTTCAATGACTGGAGACAAACATTAATCCCATCTTTTCTAATAATTGCCTTTTGAATAGAACACTAATTCTCCTTGTTCTATCCCTCCGGATTAATTATGATAGAGGCTGATTTAGGTAGGATTTAAATATATTAATTTTCTCTTAACAGATTATGTTTAATTTTTACAATATTTATGCAATATGTTATATAAATGTGCTTAGGGATATATGCAATTGTGTTTTTATAAATAACCTATTCTTAAAATTTGACTGTAATTTAATATTATCCTTTTTAACATTTTATTCTTTATAATTTTAAAATGTATTTTACTCTTTCTGCACCAAAGTGTTTTGCTGTTTTTCTGCAGAGATTTTTTTTATAAATTCCTATGTAGCTACATAATCCATTTGAATATTAGATAATTGTACAGTTGAATTTATAACATAATGTGCATATAATGTAAAATAATTAACCTTTTCACTTTGTGAAAATGTACAGCGTGATTTTTTAATATTTATTATTAAGAAGACAAGTGGGAATCTGTACTGAAAAGATAGTTTGGTTATTTTGAAAAAGTACTAAGGTGGACTTTAGCCATCACTGCCTTTCTATGGAAGAAAACTCAAGCCTTGCCTTTCATGTTAGGAAGCTTTGTTGAATAGATAGTGGCCATACCAAACAAACCTTTGGGTTTCTTGGAGCAGGTAGCCAGCTCTAGTGTGAATTGCCTATAGTGGTATAATCCTCACTATTGGGATATTGTGAAGGTTGGTCTCAGCTGGTGGAAGCCTAGGTGCTCAGAGAAGAAATAAATATAAATAGCCACAGATAGTGCACTCAGTAAAACAATTGTAGTTGCGTAAAATGTAAAAATATGGTACTCACAAGTGTAGAGCAGGCTCACTGCTCTATCTTGACAGCATTGGTGGTATGATCCCCACCTGGGATTTTCTCTGCTTTTCAATTGGTCCAGCCACTGCACACTGAGTGTAAAGGGGATCCAAAAATCACAGGGGTAACTGAACCTAGGGCTGCCCGGCTGGTACTCGGCTCAGCGGCAGCGGACAGGGTGTGGGTGGAGGGTCACAGTGAAGTTACCCGGTTTAGCATAAAAACTTCACATAGGACTCTATCCATCCAAGATTTTTGGATCCCCTTTACACTGTGATTTTTGGAAAATTCAAATTTCAAATTCAATTTCTAATTTGATTTAGAGCTATATCTCTCAAATTCAAACATGAGTTTAGGGAGATAAGTTTAGTTTTCAAAATATGAACCTCATTTGCATATATACATATCTTTAATTTATTATCACCTGCCTGAATATATTTAATTAAATGGTTTATATCTTATGTTGACTGTGAGATGTTCAATGGACAATATGGACAAAAAAGGTGATAGAGGGCAACCCTGTCTGGTCCCATGAAATATTCAAAACCAGTCAGTACAAAAATCAAGGCCCAATATCCGTGCCAATGGTGTGGAGTACAAAGCTCCTATCTCCTTGGCAATCCAACCCTCAAAAACACAAGAAGTGATAACTACTCTCAAATATCTCTATGTGACTCTGTTAAAGGCCTTCTCTGCATCGACTGACAGAGTCAGAATTGGAATTAAGTTTTATTCTCTACTATACTAAGGTGGAGTTATGACAGTATTATTTTGAAACACTTTGATAATTAGAGGTTCAATGACTGGAGACAAACATTAATCCCATCTTTTCTAATAATTGCCTTTTGAATAGAACACTAATTCTGCTTGTTCTATCCCTCCCGATTAATTATGATAGAGGCTGATTTAGGTAGGATTTAAATATATTAATTTTCTCTTAACAGATTATGTTTAATTTTTACAATATTTATGCAATATGTTATATAAATGTGCTTAGGGATATATGCAATTGTGTTTTTATAAATAACCTATTCTTAAAATTTGACTGTAATTTAATATTATCCTTTTTAACATTTTATTCTTTATAATTTTAAAATGTATTTTACTCTTTCTGCACCAAAGTGTTTTGCTGTTTTTCTGCAAAGTTTTTTTTTTATAAATTCCTATGTAGCTACATAATCCATTTGAATATTAGATAATTGTACAGTTGAATTTATAACATAATGTGCATATAATGTAAAATAATTAACCTTTTCACTTTGTGAAAATGTACAGCGTGATTTTTTAATATTTATTATTAAGAAGACAAGTGGGAATCTGTACTGAAAAGATAGTTTGGTTATTTTGAAAAAGTACCAAGGTGGACTTTAGCCATCACTGCCTTTCTATGGAAGAAAACTCAAGCCTTGCCTTTCATGTTAGGAAGCTTTGTTGAATAGATAGTGGCCATACCAAACAAACTTTTGGGTATCTTGGAGCAGGTATCTGCGTAAAGTTTTGCCTCGCTCATTGAATATAGATCTAAGTCCTTGAGCAATCCATTATTATGATTACTATGAATCTAGAAGTGTATTCAAATTAAATTACTTCTCACTATCCAACTATGTCCTGAATATACCTTATATAACTATACCTTACCTCTAAATTTAATATAAAATGGCTTTTCAGAGATAAATGATCTAAATATCAATATTCAATAGAAAAATCTGGTGAAAATTTTTTTTGGGGTTAATATGAACTATTTTATAATTAAGACTTATGAATTAACCCCTTAAGGACCAAACTTCTGGAATAAAAGGGAATCATGACATGTCACACATGTCATGTGTCCTTAAGGGGTTAAACTGTGAATTTTTCATTTTAAAAACTTTATATCAGTGCCAATATAATCTCCATCTATAATATTGCAACATATGAATCTATATATACTTTTGAAGCAAATTAATTTGATAGGCAATCCAATATTGATAATTAGTTGTGGAATTACACCTTTTTTATAATATAAACAAATGAGTTTGCATTTGATGTTACTAATATAAATTAGTTATATTATGGAGTTATCAAAGCTCAAAAGTAATATGGCAAGTAACATGCCATTTTGTGTACCTTTATTAAAGTAAACCTGCACAAAAATATGTAATATTCCCCCCCCCCCCCACACTCAGAGAAAATGGCCTCTCAAATTTCTCCAAAATTATCTGGCTCATAATCCATATGAATCTCATGATAACATAAAATGAACTGCAAGCCTTTCTTATCTTGGCTCGGTAATCAGAAAAATACTGAACAAGAATCCTATATTGGAAGTATACGATAATTAAAATGTTGCTCTCAAATTAAAATAATGTACCCAGACAAATGTTCTCTAAATGCCACATTCGGTCAACAATGTTGTCTTGACAAATGACTCAAACAGAGGTACCCCCCCCAAACATAGACCAGCTCTCTAATATGGGGAATCCCTCAAATCCCCATGCAAGAGAGCTAGTAGTATGTCCGAGTAGTCTTTATGCAGGTAAGTCACAAAATGGGGACAACCTGTATATAAATTGTACCAATCCTAACAATTCTCTAGTGAGTTGAAATATGTAATCCTTCAGATGTTATATGAGTATTCTAGTAACTACTTTTCAAATGTGACCATTTCATACATTGATATTTGTTTCCAATGTAACATTTTTTAAAGCCATATTCTAACTAGTTATAATAGCAATGACTTTGTGACAGTCATTACTAAAATGTTTGTACAGCACATGCATTAAGTCTGGGATCTCACAAGTATTAAAAGGCAGCACCACAAATATCGCTCTGCGAAGTAACATGAAATAAAATAAACAACTAAAATCTTCACAGCCTTCTTTCTATACATTTGCATATCAGATAGGTATGGATACAGTCTTTGTTCTAATCATTTTTTTTTTAGATGACTTCAAGTTTCCGTATTACTGTAGCCAAAGGTGTTGCTACAATAAGACACTTTTATGTGTTTTCGGGAATATTCTGTTTTCAAAAGCACTGACTTGCTTCAGTATAGCTACATTAACCTCTGAATTCTGAAAATTGTGGTAATTAAATTTTATATGGTAGACTATACCACTGCTATGGTGTTGGCAAAGTACCAATGTAGATTTTATATCAGATTCCTACTAATGTAATTTTCTGTTGCCTTCAATAGTGCAACTTTTAAATAATCCCATTTCTCTTGGACTCCATTTAAATTGCTCCAGTCTGATAATGACTCCTCTACCTATATTCTAATTTTAGAAAAGTCTGGGTGAATGCAAAGAGAAACTGAGTGTTAAGCAGTGATTTGCGGATACTTAGTATTGCTGTATGTGTCTAATCGCAAATACGGTGACAATTTTACAGGGTTAATGCACGGAAACGGTGACAGCTGTACAGGGTTAATGCAAGGAAGAACCGAGTTTTAGACAGTAAGTTACTGCTACTTTGTATTATTCTCTATGTCTAATAGCAAGCAACGTGATAATAGGGAAAACGAGGGGGTGTTTGAGACCACCTGTTCTCCTAGGTGATAAGAGATAGATGCAAAAGGTTAAAGTACAAATTATTAAATAATACTGCACAGCAGATAATAACTTGTTGCTAAATCACTAGTGCCTTCGATGGCACCTTTTAGCAAAAAGCCTGCTCTGAACTAGCACCCCCTTAATCAAAAGTGCTATCAAGGTGAAAGTAGTATCGCAAAGAGGGAAATGTTCCCCATCCAAGATTAGAATCAACTATGTAACTAGATGCTGTGGGATGATAGTGTCAGTTAAGCCATTAATCATAGTGGTTAGTAAAAAGCCGGCACTACTAATGTGTCAGATATACGTCCAGAGCCTCTGACATGCGTTTCGCCAGTAAAGCTCATCAGTGAAGCTCATTAAAGATATTATACACCATGTAGGTAGAAATGCATCCTTTTTACTTATTGTTTTTTTGTATATGTTATGGACAACGAACACAGGTGCATTTTATTAATGGCATTTTGAATGCACAGAGATACCATGACAGATCCTGAGGCCCACTGTTGTGCCATTCATCCACGACCATCAACTCATGTTGCAGCATGATAATGCATGGCTTCATGTTGCAAGGATCTGTACACAATTCCTGGAAGTTAAGAACATCCCAGCTCTTGCATGGCATAGTCACCGGACATGTCACCCATTGAACATTTTTGGGATGCTCTGGAACAGCGTATACGACAGTGTGTTCCAGGTCCTGCTAATATCCAGCAACTTTGCACAGCCATTGAAGAGGAGTGGACCAACATTCCACAGGCCACAATCAACAACCTGATCAACTCTATGCGAAGGAAAATGGTGGTCACACAAGATACTGATTGGTTTTTGGACTTCCCCGAATCCCCCAATACAGTAAAACTGCACATTTTAGAGTGGCCTTTTATTGTGACCAGTCTAAGGCACACCTGTGCAATAATCATGCTGTCTAATCAGCATCTTGATATGCCACACCTGTGTGGCGAATGGATTATCTCGGCAAAGAAGAAGTGCTCATTATCACAGATTTAGACAGATTTGTGAACAATATTTGAGAGAAATAGGCATTTCTGTACATAGAAAAAGTGCTCTCAACTTCATTATTTATCTATCTATCTATATATCTATCTCAAAAGTATCTGAATAATGTACATATGTTATTTATATATAGTAATAGAAATTCTTGAAAATTTCAAGCAGGGTATATTTTCATATTTGCAATTACTGTAGTGACTGTACAAAGTATCAGTGTGCAAAAATGCTTCACAAGTGCAATATTCATGGTGTAGTTCTGCATCTGGTCACTTGGTGTCACTCTTGCATAATTTTTTAAAAGCAGAGCTAGGTGAATACAATATTGCGAGTATCACAGTCACTGATGGTTATTGGATACAATTTCTTTTGTTTTTAACATTATTTTAAAACCTGAAAAATCATCAAGCCATTGCCATGTGTCTGCAGCACAACAATTTCTCACTAAGACTCAAGCTGCTTGCTATTTTCATAATGCAAATGGCTGCTGATCTTGTTCTGAGTCAGCTTCATTATTTGGTGCAGGAGGAATCTAAACATGGAACATTTGTTGGGAGAATTGCTCAAGATCTTGGGATGCAGATCAGTGACATTAATTCCAGAAGATTAAGGATTGTCTCTAAGGATGGCACAGACTATTTCCAGGTAAATCTGCAAAATGGAATATTATTTGTCAATAAGGTCATAGACAGAGAAGAGCTTTGTCCAAAGATCAGCATTTGTATTGTGCAGCTAGAAATCATAGTAGATAAACCTGTGCAGATTCACCATGTAGATGTAGAAATTGAAGATATTAATGATAATTATCCAGTTTTCTCTTCAAATGAATTTAAGCTATTTATATCAGAGATGAAGCTGCCTGGATCTTACTTTCCACTAGAGGGTGCTGTTGATGCTGATGTTGGAACAAACTCCATTACAAATTATGAATTGAGTACAAGTGATTATTTTACATTAGATGTCCAAACATATATGCAAAAAAGCAAGTCTATTCAGCTTGTTATAAAGAAAACTCTCGACAGAGAGCAAAATCCTGCTCATAATCTAACTCTTACTGCTTATGATGGGGGTAAACCAAAATTACGTTGCTCAACTCATCTACATATCACAGTTCAAGATGTGAATGACAATGCACCTAGGTTTGACCAATTATATTATGTAGTTAGTTTGTTGGAAAATGCTCTGAATGGTACTGTTGTCACAAAATTGAATGCATCTGATCCAGATGAAGGTGAAAACAGTGAAATATTATATGCATTCAACAAACTTGTTCCACAACAAGTAACATCTGTTTTTAACATAGATGAAAGTGCAGGGATAATAAGAGTTGTGGGAGAGGTAGATTTTGAAAAGCAAAATTTGTACGAAATTGAAGTTGATGCTGTTGATAAAGGCCATAGTGCTATGACTGGGCATTGCAAGATTTTAGTTAATATTCTGGATATAAATGATAATGAGCCTGAGTTAACAGTGACTTCACTCAATGTTCCTGTCCCTGAGGATTCATCGGTGGGATCTGTAGTTGCTGTAATTAGTGTTCTTGACAGAGATTCAGGGCTCAATGGAAAGGTGAACTGCCATATTTCCAAAAATGTTCCCTTTAAAATAATATCAACCTTGCGGGAATATTTCTCACTTGTAGTAGATGGTCCATTAGATCGGGAAAGAATTTCAGAATATGAAATTGAAATAACAGCCACAGATGAAGGTTCTCCAGCTCTTTCAGTAACAAAACTAATTAAGGTTCCAATAAGTGACGTGAATGACAACCCTCCAACCTTCCTGCAAACCTCTCAAACAATTTCTATCAAGGAAAACAATCCACCAGGTTCTCATGTCTACACTGTCTCCGCATTTGACTCAGACATCAGCCAGAACTCTTTCATCACATATTCAATCATTGACAGTTCTATAGATGGGATTCCCATATCTTCATATATCTCTATTAACCCAGAAAATGGGAAGGTATTTGCCCTACTGTCATTTGATCATGAACAATTGACACATTTCCAGTGTCAAATTAAAGCCACTGACACAGGATTACCTCCACTGAGCAGCAATCTGACTTTATATGTTTTTATTGAGGACATCAATGATAATGCCCCTGCTATCCTCTCTCAGTTTTCCAATATTGAGTCAAGACTACTAGAGAAGGTTGCAAGATCAGCTAAAGAAGGTCAGTTGTTGACTAAAATTAAAGCAATCGATGCAGACTCAGGATACAATGCTTGGATTTCTTATGAGTTTAAGGATCCTGCAAGAAATATCCCATTTGCTATTGGCAGTCAAACTGGAGAAATTACTGTAATTCGTTCCCTTGATGAATCAAGCATTGATGAATACAGACTGACAGTTATTCTGAAAGATAATGGAGACCCCATTATGTCATCAACAGTGAACTTAGCCATATTACTTGTGGAATCTGGGCAAGAGTTACCAGAAGAAAGAAAGACTCAAAACAGAAATAATGATGATTTCTCAGATGCCAATATTTATCTAATTTTGTCAATTTGCTTAATCTCTACAGTATTTCTTATTACCCTTATATCATATACCATTTTGAGGTGGCATAAATATACACAAGAAATTAATGAACTGAAACAACATAATTTTTGCTCAAGTATAGCAGGAAGCTGGACTTACTCTCAACAGCGTCAGTATAAGGTTTGCTTAAATGGAGGACCCCCCAAAAATGACTTAATACTTTTCACACCAAGCTATCCACAAACAGGTGATGCAATTTCTGCAAATGGGAGTTTGGCATCTGATTCTGCTGGACAGGTAGGATTATTATTATTAATAATAAGAAGAATTATAACATTTGCATTGTATGAACATATTCCATAAAGATATATCAGAGGGTTTAAATAGTGAATACAAGACAAAAGAAATAGAAACAAAAAATTACGGTATCTTGCTCAAACTAGCTTGCAATCAATGGGCCACTATCTTATTCTTCGATATCATGTATTCTCCTTTTAGAAACCTTCCTTCTTTTTTTTTTTCAGTATATTTTTATTAAACCAAACAACATATCTTTTTAATATATATATTAATAAAAGTTTAAACTTAAAATATAAATGTAGTAAATTTAAAAGGCTTGATTGTTCAATCATAATAACATAACAAAACCTTTATCTTATATCAATCATCATCTTTCGAAAAAAACAAAATCTGATATAAATTAATCTCAGTGTACTGTGTAGTTTAGAAGAGTTTGCATGATGATTTGCCATGCTTTTTGCACTATTGCATATATGTAATATTAAAATCATTATTTATTAAATATGGAAATGATTTTGTTCATTATCCTTGCTAGTGTATAATTCAATACATTTTGTATGCACTGGAAATAAAATAAAAATTTAAGATCTTAACATTCATTGAACACTTTTCTTCTAGCTCATACTTTTTCCAAATGTTCCAAGAAATTATAATTCCAATAAACGAGTAATAATTGCCCTAGAATGACTTGTTGCACTAAACATTTTAAGTCACAAATTCACATATAAAGGACAAAAATAACTTAATCATAACTTTAGTGTAGCAGCATAAGTGAGATTGGGGCTCTTACTCATAACTCAGAAAAGCTTCATCAAATTAAAAAATGCTTCAAACGTATTTATCTATTTTAATTGGTAGATCTTATACTTAGATATAAGTAAAAAAAAATCCTCTCTGGAGTCATAATTATGAGAATTTAGGTAAAATCTCATCAAAATATGTTAATCTACCATTTTAACGATCATATATCAAACATGTAATATACTGTTCAAAAGATTTAATCAGTTCTCCTCAATTAACTTTTAGCTTGTCAGTGGTGGGAAGAACAAAAGTAGGTAGATGTATTCTAATTGGTATGGACATTTGTTCTATATGTTTAAATTGCATGGAAATGAAAGTTTTCTGTGATAGCCAATCACAAGGAGGTATTCTCTGACTTTTTTGGTGAGTCCCGTCCATAGAATGGACATAAAACCCATTGGTAGCAGTGAGAGGGCAGATCTGAGGAAGCTGATTGGATCAGTAAAACATGGCATTCTGAGTGATGTCATCACGCTGCATGTGACATCATTGCCCTGCCTCCCAGAACTGGGGTTGCGAGTGAGAGGTTCAGAGCCAGCAATTGAACCGAACAGGGCTCAGAGCATTTCATCTGTGGGGGACTTGATTTCCAGGGAGGGTTATGTAAAACCTCCCCCTATTTTAATTAATCAAGATTAGAGGAAGAAAGTTGCTGCATGGTGGATTCCTTGTGAGATACTACCAAGTGATTTGTTTGGAGCATGAATAGCATGAGCAGTCTTCATCTGCTCCCTGTTTATGAGTATGCATGTATTTATGTATAGGTTATTATTGGTGTTTACAATATTACACTAGATTGGTTATTTTTCACCTTCCATATATTTTATGAATAGAACACATTTTGTAAGTAAAATCTAAGCACTTTGAAGTTATCTTTGCACTATATGTTTTTTGCACTTTTGTATTGTGGGTTTACACTTCGCACTTTATTATATATTTGTATGCACTTTACAAGCAAGTGTATGTACACTAATGTTTTGCACTTGTTTAATGCACTTTATTGTAACAATAGTGCACAGTGCTTTTCGCTCTACCCTACCAACTTTAAAGGCATAGTGCACTTTTATATAAGAGTGGGAATACTCCTGAAAAATATTTGAAGTTGCAGCACACCTTAATTTTATTTTTTGTTATTGTAGTGTATTTCATGAGCTATTGCACTTCAGCAGGTGCTGCTATATTACTAAAAACATTTTTTTAAAAGAAATAAATGCCATTATCACTTGGAATTTTTGTTATTTGATATACTATCAAACTCCTTCCAAAACATATAAAGATCATATCATGATATTATTCAATAAAATATGCAAGAAAATAACTTAAACATCTAATCACAATATCTTTGTGGAAAATTTACAGTGGCGCAATATGCAATTGCTAAATTTGCTCTCTATTTTGAATCTATAATTGCAATGTTAACAAAATCATTCTAAAAATCAAACAAATTGCTAAATTTAGGTAGAATTGCTAAACTAGAAAAACATTCAAACTTGCCCAAAGCATATTATCTAGGAGGAAGGAAAAATGAACACGAGGGGTAAAACAATTTGCTAGTAAGGAGTATGAAGCATAATTTTTTTTACATTTGTCTAACACTTGCAATTTGTTTTAATGAAAGATCTACTTTGTAAAAAACTTTCAATCCTGCTGGTTTTGAACATTCATAGTGTATGAGATCAATATTATGAAGTGTACCTGTCATGTCCTTTTCAACCTATCGTTCCTGTAAGTTTTCTTGTAATTGTCCTATTTATAATTAAAATATTGTAAAGCACTACGGAATCTGTTGGCGCTATACGAATGGCAATAATAATAATAATAATAATAATAATAATGTGAAAATATACATTGGTATACTTTCACCCCTTTGTGCTGGTTGCTGTCAGTTACCCATTCTGTACACAAACTGCACATTTTAATAGAGTGGCCTTTTATTGTGGCCAGCCTAAGGCACACCTGTGCAATAATCATGCTGTCTAATCAGCATCTTCATATGCCATACCTGTGAGGTGGATGTGTTATCTTGGCAGAGGAGAATTGCTCCCTAACACAGAACACAGATTTAGACAGATTTGTGAACAATATTTGAGAGAAATAGGCATTATGTGTACATAGAAAAAGTCTTACATCTTTGAGTTCAGCTCATGAAAAATGGGGGCAAAAACAAAAGTGTTGCGTTTATAATTTTGTTCAGTGTAGCTTTGCTGATAATTTGGCTAGTTGCACTTGTTACCCAAGTAAAACATTGCCAAACATTTTCTTATGAAAGGTTAGCATTCTAGGTACGTACAGTATAATGAAAACAGTATAGGCTCCTGAACATTCTTTCATAAATTTGTATTGCCATATTTGGAGTAGCTTTTATGAGTGGAAGGTATTGTGTGATATAAATTGGATTGGTCAATTAAGTACTGCTCTAGTTCTTCACTGGGGAGGTCCAATACAATGGTTAATAAAAAATATACCATAAAGCTCAACCGTGCAAATGCGAATTGCATGGAGACTTCTTTCAATAAAGTATTCCAGATAAAAACATATTGAGAATATTGGTATAAAAAATAATTGCCATGGTGAAATTAATAGTTACACAAACTATTTTCCCCCTAATTTGATACATAGATCTTATTGATGGCATATAAAATGTAAAAAAAATATTTTGCTTATAGATTTATTTAAAAAAAATACCTTAACTATTTTATATAATTTTATATACCTATAATTAAAAATAGATTTATTTAATGTACTTCTTTATACAGGTTTGAAACAAATTAATGTAAACACAACTGAAGTAAGTTTAACAAAAGTTTAAATAATTTATAATGTATAATTTATAAATAATATTCATACTATAATTTTAATAATATGGTCAAATATGTTATCAATCTTTGTAAGTTTTCTGCTGATATTATTGGAATTCCAAAAATGCCTGCAATATAAAACATTAATACAGTTAACCGACTAAAGCCACATATTAGTATTTTAAATACAACAGTCTCCACATATACCCCAATGTGTACTCTAATTTCTAGCCCACCCTCCTCTCACAGATGTGGAATCACTGTAAACATTGATCATAACATTCTTTTGAAGAGTAGGAACATGTGTTGGTGATGTACTTTACAATCCCAAAAGGTACTGATTGAGTTCTTGGTGGAAAATTATTTTTCAACCAGGAGAAGGTCTGGAGTATAGCTAAAGGTAAGTACTGTTTATTGAACTATATTTATTCCAGTAGGTGCTGAAAAGACTCACAAAATATTGGAGCCCATGAAAAACACAGTAGGTTTGAAAATATTGCAAAGGTATATTTAGCAAATATTACACTATGTTGAACAACTCATATATAACATATAAGATCAAAACTAGCCAAGTTGGAAAAAAACTACAGTATAATTTAATTGGCGATATTGCCTGCCTGATTTGTTTGAACATATTTTTAAAGTTGATGGTCAGTTCAGTATAACTGACTAATAACATAAGTGATAAACAATAGGTTTTCTGGATTATGCAAAGTATGCAATGGCAGGGGAATGTAAAGATCCAGCAAATTATGTGACCAGATCATATCAAAAAAAGAATCAGCTTTGAAGAGTCAGTGTTTGTTAATAACCAAAATCTGAATAAATCAGATTTGGATTTTTTTTTTACAAATCAGAAGAAAATGTAATTAAATCTCAATGGCAATTCTATTTAAATCAAATAAATATAATGTTACAATTCCTTCTCTAATCTTAATGCAAATCATTCTTGTAGAAAAAAAATAAATAGAATGTTAGAAATCCTTGCATTACCTCTACATCATACCACTTGGTGTCACTGTTGCACCAATTTAAAAAAAAGAAGAATACCAATAATTCTATCACTGCAAGGTTCTTGATGACGGATAGATTTTGGGCAATAGAAGGAATCAGTTTTGTTTTGCAAGGATTTGAAGACTATTGTAAAATAACCATAATAACTGGGATACAGAAATGTGTCTGCAACACATTATATTCTCATTAAGAATCAAGCTGATTGCTGTATTCTTCATACTAATGGCTACTGATCTTGTTAGGAGTCAGCTCCATTATTTGGTGCAGGAGGAATCTAAACATGGAACATTTGTTGGGAGAATTGCTCAAGATCTTGGGATGCAGATCTTTGACATTAATGCCAGAAGATTAAGGATTGTCTCTAAGGATGGCACAGATTATTTCCAGGTAAATCTACAAAATGGAATATTATTTGTTAATAAGGAGATAGATAGAGAAGAGCTTTGCCCAGACAGCAGCATTTGTATTGTGCAGCTAGAAATCATAGTAGATAAGCCTGTGCAGATTCACCATGTAGATGTAGAAATTGAAGATATAAATGATAATTATCCAGTTTTCTCATCAAATGAATTCAAGCTGCTTATATCAGAGATGAGGCAACCAGGCTATAAATTCCCACTAGAGGGTGCTGTTGATCCTGATGTTGGTACAAATTCTATCACAAACTATGAACTCAGTGCAAGTGATTATTTTACCTTGGATGTTCAAGCATACACACAAAAAAGCAAATCTATCCAACTTGTGTTGAAGAAATCTCTTGACAGAGAACAGAGTCCTCTGCATAATCTTACCCTTATTGCATACGATGGTGGTAAACCAAAATTGAGCGCCATGACTCAGCTCCTTATTACAGTCAAAGATATCAATGATAATGCACCATTGTTTGACAAGCCATATTACGCAGTTAGTTTATTAGAAAATGCTCTGAAAGGAACCATTGTCATCAAACTAAATGCAACAGATTTGGATGAAGGTGAGAATGGTGAAATATTTTATGCTTTTAATAAAGTTGTTTCACAACGGATTATGTCACTGTTTAGCATTGAAAAAGACTCAGGGATTGTTAGAGTTATAGGAGACATCGATTTTGAAAAAAACAGTTTATATGAAATTGAGTTTGATGCAATTGATAGAGGATTTAATTCGATGGCTGGACATTGTAAAGTTGTAATTAATATTATGGACATAAATGATAATTCTCCAGAACTGACAGTAACATCACTCAATGTTCCCGTTCCTGAGGATTCTTCACTAGGATCGGTTGTTGCTGTGATCAGTGTTCATGACAAAGATTCAGGAAAAAATGGTAACGTGAATTGTCATATTTCGAAAAATATTCCATTTAAAATATTATCAACACTAAGGGAATATTTCTCACTAGTAGTTGATGGACCATTAGATCGGGAAAGAAAGTCAGAATATGACATTGAAATAACAGCTACAGATGAAGGGTCTCCAGCTCTTTTAGTAAGAAAGCTAATTAAGGTACAAATAAGTGATGTGAATGATAACCCCCCAACTTTTCCGCAAATGTCAGACACAGTCTCTATCAAAGAAAATAATCCTCCAGGTTCTCATATCTATACTGTGTCAGCTTCAGACTCTGACATTATCCAAAACTCCTTCATAGCATATTCGATCATTGACAGTACTGTGGATGGTATTCCCATTTCTTCTTACATCTCTATTAATCCAGAAAATGGAAAGATATTTGCTTTATTGTCCTTTGACTATGAGAAGGTAACATATTTTCAGTGTCAAATAAAAGCCACAGATGCTGGATTACCATCGTTGAGCAGCAATCTGACCCTCTACATTTTTATTGAGGACATTAATGACAATGCCCCGTATGTGCTTTCTTCATTTTCCAGCAGTGAATCCAGATTAACAGAGATGCTTCCAAAATCATCTAAAGAAGGATATTTGGTAACTAAAATCAAAGCCATCGATGCAGACTCAGGGTACAATGCCTGGCTTTCTTATGAGTTTAGTAACGCTGCTCGAAATACTCCATTTACTATTGGTCGTCAGACTGGGGAAATCAATGTCATTCGTCCTCTAATGGATTCAGATACTGATGAACATATATTATCCATTGTACTGAAAGATCACGGAGATCCAGAAATGTCATCAGTTGTGACTTTATTAATTTTACTTGTGGAATCTGGACAGGACCTACCGGTAGAAAGAAAGGCTCACCAGAGAAATTCAGATGATTTTTCAGATGCCAATGTTTATCTTATTATGTCAATTTGTTTAATCTCTACAGTATTCCTTATCACCCTTATAGTATATACTGTTGTGAGGTGGCAGAAGTACACACAAGAAATTAATGCACTGAAACAACATAATTTTTGCCCAAGTATAGCAGGAAGTTGGACTTACTCCCAAAAACACCAGTATAATGTTTGTTTGAGTGGGGGACTACCGAAAAATGATTTAATACTTTTTACTCCAAACTATCCCCAATCATCATTGGAAGATGCTGTTTCTACTAATGGAAGCTTGCCGTCAAATTCAGCCAGCCAGGTAAGATAATAATAAATGCTTGTCCAGCCCATGTTTGAAACTTAGTTGATGTGCATGCTTTTAACTAGAGAAAACTCGAGATTGAATATGTGTTTAACAAAGTCTTAAGCTTATTTTGAAGTATTCCTACAAAGAAAAAGTACAGGAACAGTGAAAATAAAAAGACAAATATTTGTATTTAATTTAGTAAACATTATACATGTGTGTTTCTTGCAGTTGAATTAAGAGACATATATATTTTAGAGATTTTAAATTGGTGGATGATTATTCTACATGTGTACAGCGCTATGGTAGAAGGATGATTGATACATGTAACTGTTATCAAGTGAAATAGTGGATAGATAAAAGTTGTAGGTGAAGTGGAGAGCTAAAGTGATCTTATTATTAAGTCAGTTTTCAATGGAAGCACAAGCCAATCTAGTTCTCCAAAAAAGTATTACATTGGGAGACAAAGGAGAGTTAACTGAGTTGACCAAATTTGCTTATTTATATGAACCATATATCACATCCAAATCATGATATGGTTTCATCAAGTTTGAAATCCCACCACCTAGTTCAACCTCTCTGTTTCTACTGTTGTTCCAAAAGAAGGCAAAAAAAAAAGTTTGAAGAAGTGACTTCCAATTGATATTTCTCCCTGGATCAAGAAGCTGTTATTCGATATCGTATCTGCTATAAACGTTAATATTCTGTTTAATAAAACAAATTTAAAAAAGAGTTCAGACCTGTTTCAAACCTCTGCAGAATCTGCATCTTTAGGCAGATTGTCACATCTGTACAACCTTTTCATATGCTATAGGCAAAAAATTTTTTTTTCAAGTTTCAAAGCATGATCTCTTTCCCTCTGTACAATATTGTTAATTCTATAATTTATAATATAGTTTCTTGACATTCTTTATCTTTGTCATGCAGAAATTAAAATGCAGGCACATAGTGACATGTCAATAAGATAAAATATGACAAGAATAATTTTGAATACACAACATGACATGTTGAGAAAGCTGCACTTTTTAGGAATTAAACATTTATGTCTATGAATGTGGCTAATAATTTGGACAGAATTGCAGAGATTAAAGGACATGGATAAGACAAACTAGATAATAGTTCAAGTAAATCAACAAATAATACCTATAGCTGTGAGTGAGAAAGTGCATGAACAATGAACTTGAAATAACTATATCTCACACAGGTCGGTGAATGAGATGGCCACCACAACAGTACACCTAGCAGAAATAAGATCAATAACGGACAAATCCAAAAGATTTCTATGGCTGATTAAAGCATTAGAAAACAAAATAGGGAAAACAATTAGGAAGTGTGCAGGCTTATCAGAGAAAAAGATACTTAGATGACTGTATCAGCATGAGAAGGTGAGATAGTCTATGCCTCCGCTAGGGAAAATCTCTGTGTCAGGCCATAAGAGCATCACAATAAAGCATGTTTTATAGCACCCCTGAAGCCAGTTCCTCCAGTACTGGGTCTTGGCAGCAACCTTGACATAATGTCCACAGATCATTAACTACTGGATTACCAAGTCGGTGGCCAGAGAGTCCCGCTGATGAGTTCTTCCAAGTGTGTAGATAATGTCTGAGTTGATACCCCTTCTGGGTTCCTGGTTCAGAATGCAAGGAACAGGTCATCATGCCCCCTGGTTCTGCAGGCATAGCAGCTTGGAGTGCCTGTGTATGTATACCACTCCAAAACTGTGTGCACATTAGGAGCAATTGCGTCAAGTTCTATATCCAGCTCAGCAGTGAGTTCTCCTCTGAGGGCTGTAGTGATTTGCAGTCCTTTGCCATCTTGAGGCTTGGTCACCCATGCAAAACTTCAAGACTTGGATTTGCCTAAAAGAGAAGTAGGTATAAGATGTTGTAGCGGTGGAGACGGGGATAACACTAACAGGTCAAATTATGTGAGAACTGGGCATGCTCTCAATCCAGCCAGCAAGGTACAGCCAAAGAGGTTGGCTGCAACTCCCAGCCAGGACCATGCTAGGCTGGTCAGAATTTTCAGAACTCCACAGCAACCGGAAAGCCTCTACAGGTTGCCCAGATAATCTTAGACTTCACCAGGCATCTGCACAGCCTGAGATAACAGGATATTAATGATAAGGACGCTTTGACTGCAGAGTTTGTGTTCAATGCGTCTGCTCGAGAAGATGGTCAGGCCCCGCTCCTTGAGGTGCCTTCTTTAAAGGTACATTTTTCCTTAACAACAATACTCTGGGCTCTGTCTTTAAGTTAATGATCAATCCAAGAACAAGCATTTTAAATAACACATTGACTTTGAATTGTACAGTAACTTGTTTGTGTAGAACCATATTAAATGCATTAGCATAATCCAAATAGATCACAGCCACTGTAACATCCTAAATACATTTGCTGACATCTTTATAGAATGCAATTATGTTAGTTTGACATGATCTGTCTTTCCTAAAACCATGTTGATTTCTACAAATAATTTGAATAATCAATCGCGTTTAAAGTAATAATATAATAATATAAGAAAGGAAAAGATACATGTATCACATATAGGTAGCCTTTGAGCTGATCACCTAAGGTGTTCAAATTATGAATACTATAAAAACCACTTCCTAGTTGTATTTTACTGAATAATATAGGTAGTGGTATATATATATAAAAAAATTGCTAGTATCCCAATGCAGCTCTTATTTGGAAATATCCTCAGTATTTCTTTTATATACAATATTGCTACAAAGAAACAGAAAAGATCGCAGGAGAACGTATAGCTTAGATTGCGTGTAGATTGAAACCAGAGGATCGTGGTATGGACTCTCAGATAGTCCCAGGACATGATGCTGTCAGTTTTTGCTGTGTTCTCGCTCCTATAATCGATTCCTACAAATTACATTGTTGTTCACAACTAATTCCTAAATATGATTTTTCCATAGCCTTTCAAATAATTTTTCAACTAAAGATGTTAATGGGTCTGTAAGTTTTGAGATGCTTTTTAAATACTGGCATGACATCCTTTGGTAAAATTCCTAAAATAAAAGAGCCCTGAAAGATCAAGCAGTGGTTTTACAATTTCTACTGAGCTACCAAAGTAAATCGAGGAGACCCTTGAGACAAGGGGATCCCAGTGGTAGCTCTGAACACACAGAAAAAACATATATACAGGGAGTGCAGAATTATTAGGCAAGTTGTATTTTTGAGGATTAATTTTATTATTGAACAACAACCATGTTCTCAATGAACCCAAAAAACTCATTAATATCAAAGCTGAATATTTTTGGAAATAGTTTTTAGTTTGTTTTTAGTTATAGCTATGTTAGGGGGATATCTGTGTGTGCAGGTGACTATTACTGTGCATAATTATTAGGCAACTTAACAAAAAACAAATATATACCCATTTCAATTATTTATTATTACCAGTGAAACCAATATAACATCTCAACATTCACAAATATACATTTCTGACATTCAAAAACAAAACAAAAACAAATCAGTGACCAATATAGCCACCTTTCTTTGCAAGGACACTCAAAAGCCTGCCATCCATGGATTCTGTCAGTGTTTTGATCTGTTCACCATCAACATTGCGTGCAGCAGCAACCACAGCCTCCCAGACACTGTTCAGAGAGGTGTACTGTTTTCCCTCCTTGTAAATCTCACATTTGATGATGGACCACAGGTTCTCAATGGGGTTCAGATCAGGTGAACAAGGAGGCCATGTCATTAGATTTTCTTCTTTTATACCCTTTCTTGCCAGCCACGCTGTGGAGTACTTGGACGCGTGTGATGGAGCATTGTCCTGCATGAAAATCATGTTTTTCTTGAAGGATGCAGACTTCTTCCTGTACCACTGCTTGAAGAAGGTGTCTTCCAGGAACTGGCAGTAGGACTGGGAGTTGAGCTTGACTCCATCCTCAACCCGAAAAGGCCCCACAAGCTCATCTTTGATGATACCAGCCCAAACCAGTACTCCACCTCCACCTTGCTGGCGTCTGAGTCGGACTGGAGCTCTCTGCCCTTTACCAATCCAGCCACGGGCCCATCCATCTGGCCCATCAAGACTCACTCTCATTTCATCAGTCCATAAAACCTTAGAAAAATCAGTCTTGAGATATTTCTTGGCCCAGTCTTGACGTTTCAGCTTGTGTGTCTTGTTCAGTGGTGGTCGTCTTTCAGCCTTTCTTACCTTGGCCATGTCTCTGAGTATTGCACACCTTGTGCTTTTGGGCACTCCAGTGATGTTGCAGCTCTGAAATATGGCCAAACTGGTGGCAAGTGGCATCGTGGCAGCTGCACGCTTGACTTTTCTCAGTTCATGGGCAGTTATTTTGTGCCTTGGTTTTTCCACACGCTTCTTGCGACCCTGTTGACTATTTTGAATGAAACGCTTGATTGTTCGATGATCACGCTTCAGAAGCTTTGCAATTTTAAGAGTGCTGCATCCCTCTGCAAGATATCTCACTATTTTTGACTTTTCTGAGCCTGTCAAGTCCTTCTTTTGACCCATTTTGCCAAAGGAAAGGAAGTTGCCTAATAATTATGCACACCTGATATAGGGTGTTGATGTCATTAGACCACACCCCTTCTCATTACAGAGATGCACATCACCTAATATGCTTAATTGGTAGTAGGCTTTCGAGCCTATACAGCTTGGAGTAAGACAACATGCATAAAGAGGATGATGTGGTCAAAATACTCATTTGCCTAATAATTCTGCACTCCCTGTAATTACCAGATTATAGTAGAGAAGGTGGGGACACACATAAATGGGTAGAAAGATGGTAAATGTGGAAGGGAGTAGACAAAATGAACCCTATCTACACATATAGACTATCTAAAGCACTAAAAGCACTACCTAAGTGCTACCTAGTGAAAAGTGAAAAATAAAGATAGGAAACACTCGACGCGCGTTTCGGCATGAATACACACCGTTGTCAGAAATTACAACTCCTGACGACGGCGTGTATTCACGCCGAAACCCGCGTCGAGCATTTCCTATCTTTATTCATTTATTTTTCACTTTTCACTAGGTAGCACTTAGGTAGTTAGTACGTTTGGTAAAGTTAGTTTACCAGCTTATATAGGTTTTTTAAGTCAGGCAGTTTTAGTCCTGCAGGGTTTTTTTTGGACTCAGCATTGGAGTTGGGTTTGTTCACCCCATAAGACTCCTCTACTTAGTTAAGCAGGACTCCTACATGTCCATCTGACGCTAGTGTGGGACCTTTCTCTTTTTCTTTTTGGGTTATTAGCTTCCACTAGTCCACCCAGTCTGAGTATTCTGAGATATAGGAGACTCTACCATTTACATTGGGAGGAGCGGTTGGAGCTCTTTACCCCTCCTTTTTCTTCCTATATACTGTGCTACTTGCTATTGTGTACTTCGTGGAAGGGATTTTCTCCTCCAGCAGATAGAAAGCTTTAGATGGTCTATATGTGTAGATAGGGTTCTTTTTGTCTACTCCCTTCCACCTTTACCATCTTTCTACCCATTTATGTGTGTCCCCACCTTCTCTACTATAATCTGTTAATTATATATGTTTTTTCTGTGTGTTCAGAGCTACCACTGGGATCCCCTTGTCCCAAGGGTCTCCTCGATTTATATATATATTTTTGGGTTACCCCCTACTCTGTAGCTCTGAGGTAGGCACCACTCAGGACAGATTCTATACATTCACAAGTTTATCATGACTGTGTGGATCTACCCTCTCTTTTCTTCTCATTTTTTGAGCTCCCAAAGTACTCATGGGTAATTATCATCGGCCTATGAATTTCTCTACTTAACTTTTTAATTGCACTTTATTCTATGTCATCCAATCACAGGTTTACAGTAAGTAAACACTGAATTGTACATCTACAGCCATAGGTTATTCTTGCTATACACTGAAGAAGAAAAATATTTAAAAGTTCTTCCTTTTTCTTGATTCTTATTTCCTAACACATCCATCTCTGATTTCAGCAAACCAACACTTTTACTTGCTCTCTTGGCTATCAGTTTTTAATTTCTAGTTTAGTTGACTTTTGCGTGCTTTTGTAAACTTAGTTTTCATTTTCGTATTTCATATTTGAATCCATTGAATCATTTGACTTATATGGTTTAAATGCAATTGTCTTATTTTCTAATTCATTACAGACCTTTATGTTAAGTCTTAATGGTTTTAATTAGTATTGTGTATTTTTCTTAGTGGTATGTGTTGAGAACTATATTTGTTTATTCATTAATACTAATTTAGTATTAATATTTGTGTTTGTAGCATATTTCTACAAATAATGTATTACTAAATGTATCTTTATACTTGTAAGTCTTGAACTTTTTCATTTTAAAGTGAACCCTGAATATGAAAAAATAAACCAAATATATTACCGTGCCATGTAAAAATTTACATTTTAATTACCAGATTAAAATGAAACATTCATAGGTAATCTCCATTTGGAAACACTATGCCTTGGAGGCAGGGTCTATGAATACAATGGTTGTGAAAGTACAAGGGTTGTGAAAGGTTGTGAAGGCCATATATACTGATCAACCACAACATTAAAACCTCATCTAAACATGGTAAATCATACCACGTAATCCTCTTTCATTGGTTCCTTTTCCAGTTCTAATGCTGACCATCCCATTGAAGGCACTTTTGGTGGTGGACAGGGGTAATTGTGGGAATTCTGACCGGTCTGTAGCTATGCAGACCCATATGTGAACTAAAATGCACTGTGTGGTCTGACACCATTCTATCATGGCCAGCAATTTGAGATACAGTAGTGAGCGGACCTGAAGGGGCTAGCCTTCACTCCCCACATGCATTAATAAACATTGTGTATCCAGGATCCTGATGCCAGTTCACCAATTGTCCTTCCTTGCGCTACAATTGATAGGTACTAATCAATGCATACCAGGAACAACTTACAAGACTTGTCATTTTGGAGATATTCTGACCCAGTTGTCTAGTCATCCCTATTTGGCTCTTGTCAAAGTTACTACAATCTTTTCACTTGCACATTTTTCCACATTAAATTCATGAACTAACTTTTCACTTGCTGCCTAACATATCTCACCCCTTGGCAGGTGCCATTGTAACCAGTCAGTGGTTTTAATGTTGAGGCTGATCAGTGTATGTGAACTGTATAGATAAACAGACAAATAGTTATATGTGCTTGTAAAGGACATAAAAATATCTCAAACAAAATCGGTGTGTAAAAATTGCCACTTGAGAAGACCTAAACTCCCTATGTAGAATACTCTGGATTGAGACAGAGACCTTGTAAATAAGTAGCACCAACCAGATTTGCAAAAATCACAACAATATAAATTGTTGAATAATTGACCAAAACCCCCCCCCCAAAAAAAAAAACATACACCACTGCAAGTAAAAAAAATAAAATAATATTATGAGCAAAGTCAGTAACGATTAAATGATAATACACATTACAAAAAAATAACACATTAAAAGTAATATACAATGATTTATAAAATGTGGTAGGACAACTATGTTTAAAAAAATAATTATGTTAAAATAACAATTACAACGGAAACTGTATTAATTTAACTTTTTTCACTGCATTATAACACATACAATAAATATTGCATTATTTGATACTTACAAATATGCTATTTTTTGTTCTGCAATCCATTGAAAAAGCTCTTTTTGATTGGTTCTACTAACGTAGAATAAAAAAAAAAGACAATGCTCTTTTCACAATTCCATATCTTGCCACTGGATGTCGCCATTGCTTAAGTTTTAGGAGACTGAAAACAGTCATTCCATCTTCTCTCTGGGTTGAAATTTTTCCTGCATCGGTTTTAGGAATCAGAACTGCTTTTTTCCCCCAAATGATTTGTATGTAATTGTTCATTACATTTATCAGCAAGTTTACAAAATATTACTGGATGTATTTTTCAATGAGAATACGATTGGTAATTATCTTCTTTATACAAATGGCTACTGATCTTGTTCTGAGTCAGCTCCATTATATGGTACCAGAGGAATCTAAACATGGAACATTTGTTGGGAGAATTGCTCAAGATCTTGGGATGCAGATCAGTGACATTAATGCCAGAAGATTAAGGATTGTCTCTAAGGATGGCACAGACTATTTCCAGGTAAATCTACAAAATGGAATATTATTTGTCAATAAGATAATAGACAGGGAAGAGCTGTGTCCAGATACCAGCATTTGTACTGTGCAGATAGAAATCATAGTAGATAAACCTGTGCAGATTCACCATGTAGATGTAGAAATTGAAGATATAAATGATAATTATCCAGTTTTCTCATCAAATGAATTCAAGTTTATAATAGCAGAATCCAGATTGCTAGGATCTTGTTTCCCACTGGAGGGTGCTGTTGATGCTGATGTTGGAACAAATTCTATCACAAACTATGAACTCAGTGCAAGTGATTATTTTACATTAGATGTTCAAACATACACACAGAAAAGCAAATCTATCCAACTTGTTTTGAAGAAATCCCTTGACAGAGAACAGATCCCTGTTCATAATCTTACTCTTATTGCATACGATGGGGGTAAACCAAAATTAAGTGCCACAGCTCAACTCCTTATTACAGTTGAAGATGTCAATGATAATGCGCCTGTGTTTGATAAATCATTTTACACAGTTAGTTTACTAGAGCATGCTCTGAAAGGAACCATTGTCACCAAACTGAATGCAACAGATTTAGATCAAGGAGAGTATGGTGAAATATTTTATGCTTTTAATAAAGTGGTTTCACATCAAGTTGCTAATTTTTTTAGCATAGAACCAAGCACAGGTATTATTAGAGTTATTGGAGAAGTAGATTTTGAATCGAGAAAAATTTATGAAATAGACATTGATGCTATTGATAATGGACATCATCCTATGGCTGGGCATTGTAAGCTTATAGTAAACATTGTAGATGTGAATGATAACGCTCCAGAATTAACTGTTACATCACTTAATGTTCCTGTTCCAGAGGATGCATCTTTAGGATCAGTTGTTGCTGTCATCAGTGTTTATGATAAAGATTCTGGATCAAATGGAAAAGTAAACTGTCAAATTCCCAGAAATGTTCCTTTCAAAATAACGTCAACAGTTAGAGAATATTTCTCATTGATAGTAGATGGGCCATTAGATCGGGAAATTATTTCTGAATATAACGTTGAAATAACAGCTACAGATGAAGGTTCTCCAGCTCTTTCAGTAACAAAACTAATAAAGGTACAAATAAGTGATGTGAATGACAACCCTCCAACTTTCCTGCAATCATCTGAATCAGTTTCAGTCAAGGAAAACAATCCACCAGGTTCTTATGTTTACACTGTCACTGCCTTTGATGCAGATATCAATCAGAACTCTTTCATTACATACTCGATCATAGACAGCTCTATTGATGGAATTCCGATATCTTCTTATATTTCTATCAACCCAGAAAATGGAAAGGTGTTTGCCTTAATGTCATTTGACCACGAACAAGTATCACATTTTCAGTGCCAAATAAAATCCATAGATGCTGGATTACCTCCACTAAGCAGCAATCTGACCCTCTACATATTTGTTGAGGATGTTAATGATAATGCCCCATATGTGCTTACTGCATTTTCCAGCAGTGAATCCAGGTTAACAGAGATGATTCCAAAATCAGTTAGAGAAGGTCATTTAGTAACTAAAATCAAAGCAATCGATGCAGACTCAGGTTATAATGCCTGGATTTCTTATGAGTTTGTTAACCCTCCTCGAAATATCCCATTTGTTATTGGCCGTCAGACTGGGGAAATTACTATCATTCGTCCATTTATGGAATCAGATGGAGATGAATACAGACTTTCCATTGAATTGAAGGACCATGGAGACACCATAATGTCATCAGTGGCCACTCTTGTCATATTATTGGTAGAATCTAGACATGATTTGCCAGTAGAGAGACAGACTCATCATCACAGAAAAGATGATGATTTTTCAGATGCCAATATCTATCTTATTATGTCAATTTGCTTAATATCCAGTGTGTTTCTCATTACCCTCATAGTATATACTTTATTGAAGTGGCAAAAATGTACACGAGAAATTAATGAGCTGAAGCAACATAATTTTTGCCCAAGTATAGCAGGAAGCTGGACTTACTCTCAGCAACGCCAATATAAAGTTTGTTTGAGTGGAGGACCACCCAAAAATGATTTAATACTTTTTACTCCAAACTATCCTCAGTCAATGGATGATGCAATTTCTAATATTGGGAGTTTGACATCAGAATCTGCTGGACAGGTGAGATATCAAGAAGCTTTTTCTACAAGAATACATATTTGTTTATTTTGAAGAAATAAATATTCATTATTTTGTAATTTAGAATTATTGTAATATTTAGTGAAATGGTAAGTAGTGAATATGACAGCTTTCTAAAAAATATATATAGGAAAAAGTTTGTTAATAAAGCTCCACTAACTTTTCCTTTGTTTCAGTATTGACTTATATTCAAAAGGTTTACATAGCTGGGCTTCTGTATGACCATGTGCATCTTTTCAGACGATGGCACCATTCCCCTACACTAATGCTCTGTAGCAACATTGGTTTTCTTGTTGCAGTAGCAACTTTCATTGCCCTGTATAATACTGAAGCTTAGCCTAACTGTGTATATTGTATATTGACACGTATAAGCTAAAATTATTTGTACATTTTCTTATCATTCCTATGAAGTTGCATTCACAAAATGCAATCAGATTCCTCACAAATATCTATAAAAGGGGTTTTTGACAATTGTATTCATAGATTTTTTTTTTACTTCTGACCCTATCTAAAATATTGAATCCGATGAAATATAATATAACATTTTATTATCCAATTATCTGGTAATGGACTAATGAATAAATAAATAAAATATATTTGATTGATTTTACTTATATAAATTCTTGAACAACATTTTAATCATGAGATTGTTATTTGAATTTATATCTACAAAATGGAATATTATTTGTCAATAAGATAATAGACAGGGAAGAGCTGTGTCCAGATACCAGCATTTGTACTGTGCAGATAGAAATCATAGTAGATAAACCTGTGCAGATTCACCATGTAGATGTAGAAATTGAAGATATAAATGATAATTATCCAGTTTTCTCATCAAATGAATTCAAGTTTATAATAGCAGAATCCAGATTGCTAGGATCTTGTTTCCCACTGGAGGGTGCTGTTGATGCTGATGTTGGAACAAATTCTATCACAAACTATGAACTCAGTGCAAGTGATTATTTTACATTAGATGTTCAAACATACACACAGAAAAGCAAATCTATCCAACTTGTTTTGAAGAAATCCCTTGACAGAGAACAGATCCCTGTTCATAATCTTACTCTTATTGCATACGATGGGGGTAAACCAAAATTAAGTGCCACAGCTTATGTAAAAGTTATGCTGTTTTTTTTGTTTAACAAAAAGTACCTAGCAGTTAATTATGTATTATAATTAATATTATTATATAACTTACTATAAGTATGGAAACATTTTACAAAATTCTAAAAGCTAATTACTTTGGTAAAATGTGTTCAATTGGAAGATAATGTCTTATTTAAAAATATTCTATTCCAAGATAATAGTACTTTTCCCCAGGGTCAGTTTTGACAGCCATTACAGAATTATATTTAAAATTTTGATTCTCCTAATCTAAATTTAGAGGACTTCAGATGGAACTAACATTTTCTATTAAAATTGATTATATCAATTCTTGGATTGTTAACTGCTTATCTAAACAATTTTATGTAAAATTATATGAGATTTAGACTATATTTATAAAATGTATTTTTCTATTTTTAGATTGAAGGTGATATTAACTGTTTGATATGGAAATTAAATGTTAGGAAATAAGTTATATTTTTCATTTATTTTAAATATGCATATGCTATTTCATTATGACTCAAAATGAACCAATTACATGTGAAGAAGATAAGTAACATTTTTTTATTATGTTAATATGAATAAGACAAAGATTATTTTGCTAATGTAATTATGTATGCACTTAAAACTAGCCGATTGATTTTAAAGTGAGTCATGAACATTATACAGCAAGCTCTAAAAACTAACCAGTGTCTCACTGTGGTAGACTTGCATGACTCTGTTATCCTATAATTAGAGTTCACCAAACCACATTCATAAAAGCGTATAAATTAAACTGTTAATAGTTCCTAACTGATTCCTCTACAAATTAGCTTTGTATTGGGCAAATTTTGGACATCCTAAAAGACAAGTCTGTATATTGTTTTATATTCTGAGGCTTTATTTCCATAAAACTATCATGTAATGCAAACAGAGTTCTTTAAAACAATTGTTTCCTAAACACATGTATTTATAGGTTTGTGGTATTGTACAGGGCTTTAAATGAGCAAAACAAAACAAGTCAGTTGCTAGAGTGAAATTTGGGGGTAAAGTCTATCACCCACCCATCTTTAAAATTTACCAGCCACCAGTAATTCTACAATTTACAGTGAAGCATTTAAAAAATGTTAGCTGTAAAACAATAATGCACACCTTGTAATACATGACTTATGACAAAAAAAAAAGAATGACAAGTTTCAGGGGTTTAGACTTTATTCATATTAAATGATGAATTTTAGTTGAACAAGTATACTATCTGTTATGTACCAATTCATTATATAATACAGCTTGACGTGCTTGGTAAGAGAGGAAATATAGTTAAATATAAATTTAGTTAAAGTGGCTAAAAGTAAAAAAGCTATGGTCCTTTGGGTATAAATGCATTAGAAATGTACTTTCCTTCACTTGCCAAACAATTTTTTGTAAAATAAAGATTTGATCAAATATTATCTTAAATTTAACAAGGGGTACATTAGAAAACAAATAACTATGTGATAAAACAGTGGTTTTGTGTATAAACTGCTGTTCTAAAAAACATACTTTTTTAAAATTGCAAATTAGCAATGTACAATCTGTATTTTTCATTTATTTATTTATTTATTTATTGTAAATATGGGAAAAATAAAACCCCCTGCCCAGAAAGTAAGGCAAAAGTAATAATAGAGCAGTCTTGTGAAATAAGTACATCAGTTACAATGTCCACAGCGAGTATAGGAATACAAATCAAGAAAATGTATGTCACCGAACCCAATAAGTGTTAACACCATGGATGCAAAATTTTGAGAAGTTTGCATTTTACAGCTGAGGTTAGAACTCACATGAGCTCTTAACATAGTTAATTCATAGTCTGCTCATTAGAACAGTCTCAGTTGGGCAAACTGTCTCTTCTAGTTGTGCTATAAAACACTTTAAATACCTTTATTTAGGCATAAGAGGTATAAGAGAGATGTAATTCACTTCTTCCCCACTCTGACTGTAAATATGTTCTTCAGATTTTCTTAACTATTAGGAAGGATGGGGGATTTATCATTTTCAGGGTATTTGCAGGCATTTAATGAGTGGAATGGATTTCTGGCACATAAATATATCCTTCTAGTTATTCCTAGAGTATAAATGTATGTAAGGAGGCTTTAACCCCTTAAGGACTGAGCCAAATGTACATGTTTTGATCAAAATGAAACTTAAACAAATCTTGGAATTTGACTATATCAAATATATTCAACCGTAATTCACCTCTTTCATATTAAGTGCACCCACACTTATATATCATTTTATTCAGGAGAAATAGGGTGTTCATTTACCATCAAATATTTAGTTATGACACATAATTTATATAAATAAAATATAAAAAGTTTTAGAAGTTAAGACATTTTGTTATTTTTTTAGTTTTGCATGGCATTTTAACTGTGAATGTCATAAAACTGTTTGCTTTTACTGCAATAAAATACACATATTTATATTCAGCGATGTTTCACGTGTAAAACAGTACCCCCCTATGTACAGGTTTTATGGTGTATTGGAAAGTTACATATAGCATGTTAAATTTTTCAGTTTTTTTCACATTGAAATTTGCCAGATTGGTTACGTTGCCTCTGAGACCGTATTGTGGCCCAGGAATGAGAATTACCCCCATGATGGTATACTATTTGCAATAGTAGACATCCCAAGGTATTGCAAATGGGGTATTTCCAGTCTTTTTTAGTAGCTACTTAGTCACAAACACTGGCCAAAGTTAGGGTTAATATTTGTTTGTGTGTGATAAATGCAACTAATTTGAATGTCAATTTTGGTCAGTGTTTGTGACTAAGTGGCTACTAAAAATGACTGGACATACCCCATTTGCAATACCTTGGGTTGTCTACTTTTGCAAATGGTATGCCATCATGGGGATAATTCTCATTCCTGGGCTACCAATCGGTCTCAAAGGCAACGTAATCAATCTGGCGAATTTCAATGTGAAAATACTGAAACACAAGCCTTATATTTGACTCTGTATCTTTTGAAAACACCATCAAATCTGTACATGAGGGGTACTGTTATACTCAGGAGACTTTGCTAAACACAAATATTAGAGTTTCAAAACCGTAAAACGTATCACAAGAATTATATTGTCAGTGTAAATGCCGTATGTCTGTGAAAAATGCAAAAAAGTCACATTCACTGATGATGTCATCGTTGTAATACATTTTACTGTTTTGAAAAACTAATGTTTGTGTTCAGTGAAGTCTCCTGAGTAAAACTGTACCCCCTATGTACAGGTTTTAAGGTGCTTTGGAAAGTTACAGGTTAAATATAGTGCTAGCAAATTAAACTCTCTGGACTTTCTGCCTGGGTTATCAGGCAGGTTCAGCAAATTGTAATGGATAAAATGACTTAATTATGTAAAAATATTACATAAATATATACGTAGAATTAAAATATATATATGTATATATATGTTTTTAAATTATTTTTATTTACATATATATATATATATATATATATTTATAGTGATATTAACACATACAGTGGGACCTCGGTTTACAAATTTAATGCGTTCTCCGGGATGTTACTTATTGCGAGAAATTTGTAAACCGAAACGCGGTTTCCCATAGGAATGAAAACCAATTAATTAGTTCTGGAGGTCAGAAAAAAGTCAAAATGAGCTGGCATGGAAACCAACCCACAATGCAGAACACACAATAAAAGGCATGCAAATGACGAAGCTCAGCTCCCTACCTTTCCACAGCTTGAGAAATGCACCACAAAAGTTCCAAAACAACTGCAAACAATTTCCAGAATGGCTCCCAAACTCGATGCAAAAGCCGCTCCAGCACCTCCACACTCTACACCAGGTGCTACCCACAGGCTCCAGCATGTAGGCGGCGGTGCTATAAACCTCCCAGGTGCAATGCATCCTAGGGAAACTTGCTTTGTATTGCGAAACAAATTTGTAAACCGAGGCATTATTTTCAATGGATTTTCATTTGTAAACCAGAAATTATGTAAACCGATGTCTTGATGGAGAGCACTAACAGGACTCCAGAATACAAAGTGTCGACGTTTCAGTCCAACTGGACTTTTTTTTAAAGTACGGTTGGACTGAAACGTCGACACTTTGTATTTGAACATTGCTGAGATAAAAATCACTTTTGAAATATTCTGGAGTCCTGTGACTCCATCAAGACATTGTATACAAAGGCCGGAGATAGCACTGAGGCATAAACAAGACCGGGAGCAGTAAGTGCAGGACACTTGGAAGTATATATATATATCAAAATACAGTTAGAATGAAATTACACATGTATATATATATATATATATATTTTTTTTTAATGAATTTTTTTATTTTTCATTTTTAACGTATTTATATATTTATTTAATTTATATATTTTATATATATATATATATAATTATAATATACATATATTTAATTAATATCGTTCTACGTATATTTTGATATTAATAAATATATAGATTAGAGTATGTGTATGTATGTATAAGTGTATATATATATTTACTTAGATCATATATATAATATATATATATATATATATATATATATAATCTAAGTATATATTGTTTTATTTTACACTGTTTTTAACTTTATTTTAATTTATTTCAGGCAGCAGGGGAACTACATGTCATTCCAGGCACTCCTCTTGCTGGCACTGCTATGGATGGCTATTCCGTTCATGTGATTGTGAGGTCCTTGCAAGGACCTGACAATCATATGGCCCAGGAGGGCCAGATCAGCAGCAGGAGGACTCCCTTGGATGCCAGGTAAGTCCCCCCATCAAGATCGCTGGCGGGGGATCGCCAGTGAGCAGGTAAGTCTCCTTGATGACGGGGACGTACTTGCTGCCCGTCGGCTTTTAGAGCCGTTCTTAAGGGGTTAAGGATTGTATTTTGTTTTTCAAAGCAAATTAAAGTAAACCAAAACATGTAAAAGTGATTTTTAATAGCAAAGGGGTTACAAGAAGGACTATCATCATTTTTTGCACATAAAGTAGTTGTGACAATAATATTTTTTTATTTAATGTTAATAAAATACTAAACAGATTTTAAAGTTATAAGCACAATATATGTGGGCTTTTAAGCACTATAATATGGTACAAATACAACCCTCTGAATTGAGATTAATTAATTATTATTATCTTAATTAATTGTATGTAGATTATTTAGATACATTTAAATAAACCAAGTTGTGATATGGTTTTTATTTTGCTATAATGACAGTAGACCGAGACAAGTAAAAACAATGAAAACAATCTAATTCCCTAAGCAAAGTCAATAGTACCAAGATGAAATGGTTACCAAAACATACTAAAAGAGATATACATTACAATGTAAATGTGATTTGGCAGAATAATAATTATGTTATAATAATAATAGAAATAAATATCTTTGCAATAAAGCACATACAATGAATATTGCTTTATTGAATACTTACGAATATTTAGTGTTATCATGTTTTTCTTTCCATTATAATGTTGTGATTCATTGAAAAAGCTCTTGTTGATTTGCTCTAATAATAATAAATTTAAAAAAATATTTTCACAATTTCACATCCTTCCACTGGATGTCACCATTGCTTAAGTTTTAGGAAAAAACTGTAATTCTATCTTCTCAACGACTTGGATTTTTTCCTGCGTCGTTTTTTTATAGGAATTAGAGGAACAGCTTTTTTTCCAGATGAATTGTTTGTAATTTTTCATTCCTTCTATCAGCAAATTTAAGATATGCTATTGGAATACAATTATTTCTCAATGATAATACAGCTGGTAATTGTCTTCATGATACAAATGGCTGCTGATCTTGTTCTGAGTCAGCTCCATTATTTGGTGCCAGAGGAATCTAAACATGGAACATTTGTTGGGAGAATTGCTCAAGATCTTGGGATGCAGATCAGTGACATTAATGCCAGAAGATTAAGGATTGTCTCTAAGGATGGCACAGACTATTTACAGGTAAATCTACAAAATGGAATATTATTTGTCAATAAGATAATAGACAGAGAAGAGCTGTGTCCAGATACCAGCATTTGTACTGTGCAGATAGAAATCATAGTAGATAAACCTGTGCAGATTCACCATGTAGATGTAGAAATTGAAGATATAAATGATAATTATCCAGTTTTCTCATCAAATGAATTCAAGCTGATCATAGCAGAATCCAGGTTGCCAGGCTCCCGCTTCCCACTAGAGGGTGCTGTTGATGCTGATGTTGGAACAAATTCTATCACAAACTATGAACTCAGTGCAAGTGATTATTTTACATTAGATGTCCAAACATACACACAAAAAAGCAAGTCAATTCAACTTGTTTTGAAGAAATCTCTTGACAGAGAACAAATTCCTGTTCATAATCTTACTCTTAATGCATATGATGGGGGTAAACCAAAATTAAGTGCCACAGCCCAACTTATCATTACAGTTCAAGATGTCAATGACAATGCACCATTGTTTGATAAACCATTTTATGCAGTTAGTTTATTAGAAAATGCCCTAAAAGGAACCATTGTCACCAAGCTGAATGCAACAGATTTGGACGAAGGAGAGAATGGTGAAATATTTTATGCTTTTAACAATGTAGTTTCACAACAAGTTATGTCTCTCTTCAGCATAGAACCAAGCACAGGGATTATTAGAGTTATAGGAGATGTAGACTTTGAAAGGAAAAATACATATGAAATTGAAATTGAGGCTGTTGATAATGGACATTATCCAATGGCTGGACACTGTAAAGTTATAGTTAACATTGTGGATATGAATGATAACTCTCCTGAATTAACTGTGACATCACTTAATGTTCCTGTTCCAGAGGATGCATCACTAGGATCAGTTGTTGCTGTCATCAGTGTTCATGATAAAGATTCTGGATCAAATGGAAAGACTAATTGTTACATTTCCAAAAATATTCCATTCAAAATAATGTCAACAGTTAGAGAATATTTTTCATTGATAGTAGATGGGCCTTTAGACCGGGAAAGTATTTCAGAATATGATGTAGAAATAACAGCTACAGATGAAGGTTCTCCAGCTCTTTTAGTAACACAAATAATAAAAGTACAAATAAGTGATGTAAATGATAATTCCCCAACTTTTTTGCAAACATCTGAACTAATCTCAATCAAAGAAAACAATCCACCAGGTTCTCATGTTTACACTGTCTCAGCTTTTGATGCAGATATCAATCAGAACTCTTTCATCACATACTTGATCATAGATAGCTCAGTTGATGGAATTTCAATAACTTCTTACATCTCCATCAACCCAGAAAATGGTAAGGTGTTTGCTTTGCTTTCATTTGATCATGAACAGGTTTCTAATTTCCAATGTCGAATAAAAGCCACAGATTCTGGATTACCTCCACTGAGCAGCAATCTGACCCTCTACTTTTTTGTTGAGGATGTTAATGACAATGTCCCATATGTGCTTACTCCATTTTCCAACAGTGAATCCAGATTAACAGAGATGCTTCCAAGATCAGCTAGAGAAGGTCATTTAGTAACTAAAATAAAAGCAACTGATGCAGACTCAGGATACAATGCCTGGATTTCTTATGAGTTTGTTAACCCTGCTCGAAATCTCCCATTTGTTATTGGCCGCCAAACTGGAGAAATTACTGTCATTCGTCCACTTATGGAATCAGATGGAGATGAGTACAGGCTTTACATTGAATTGAAGGATCATGGAGACCCCATGATGTCATCAGTGGTCACTCTTGTCATGCTAATAGTGGAGTCTGGCCAGGATTCACCAGTAGAGAGAGAGACTCATCATCACAGAAAAGATGATGATTTTTCAGATGCCAATATCTATCTCATTATATCAATTTGTTTAATCTCCAGTGTGTTTCTCATTACCCTCATAGTATATACTTTATTGAAGTGGCAGAAATATACACAAGAAATTAATGAGCTGAAGCAACATCATTTTTGCCCAAGTATAGCAGGAAGTTGGACTTACTCTCAGCAACGTCAGTATAAGGTTTGTTTGAGTGAAGGACCACCCAAAAAGGATTTAATACTTTTTACTCCAAACTATCCCCAATCATCAATGGATGATGCATTTTCTAATATTGGGAGCTTGATATCAGAATCTACTGGACAGGTGAGATTTCAAGAAGCTTTTACTACAAAGATACATATTTGTTTGTTCTTAAGGGAAAAGATAAATGATGTTATTGTTCGCTGAATTCACTGTATTTCAATATTTAGGGACGTGTTGTTTTACATTTCCTCCCAATAAAGGCCTTACTTTTATAGTTATGGATACAGTTTTTGAATTATTTAATATTTTTTAAAAAACATTTTAAATTCTTCAGATTTATCTACAGAAGTCACAATTAAAGTCTATGGGAATTTTGTAGATTAATCATTTGAAAAACTTATCCAAAACAATCAAATTGGGGCAACAGTGTATACACAGGTTAATATTAGTTTTGCTTTTAAAATAATTGTAAAATAAAAGTTAGTCCATAAAGTCCCATTTACCTTTCCCTTTGCTTCAGTACTTTTTTCAGTCTATGAGTTTCTCTGGCTCTATTATGTCTCTCTGGATCTCTAAGACCTGTAGTTGGCACTGTCTTCTTTTCACTTCTTCTAAGGCAATCTTAGTAGGTGAAATGTCACGCATTCTAACAGCCATGGACTATATAATACTGATGCTTAGACTAACAGTACATGTGGTATGTGAACATTAGGCCTACAAGGAACACTTGTAACACTGAGTTAGGATGTTGTATTCTGCAAATGTGCATTTCTAGGGTATTTTCTTTTCAATTTGTGTTTTATTATCATTGTACACATAATATACATCATAACCTATGTATGGTTTTGTCAATTCAGATCAATCAACAATGCTGTGCATGGGGAAATGAAAGAAACAATATATGGAAAGAAAGACAGAAATGAAAACAAAACGTAATTTCCTTAGCATATAGAACCATATATATAGTCGGACACCATTGAAGAGACTCATCAGGTGAAGCCTGGGTAGGGAAACTGTTGTATCTTGCGTGCCGTTATGCAATCTGTACAGTCGGAAGATAACTAGAGTATGGTGCTTGCATGCCAAATTCACCATCGTAGGGCAGTGCCCCCTGCCGAAGTGGATGACACCGGCATGTTTGTCCCCCTGGAGTTTGCACTTTTCGGGGCTGTGGACGGTCTATCTGCTTGTTGTTCAGCTGGTATGCTTAGTCTCTGTAGCAAAGTGTCTGGATCATCGGATGATGTTAGTGTAAGGAGTTCAGCACCATTCACTGCCAGGAGGGAACCATCCACTCCCCAATGGTATTTCACTGAACATTCTCTCAGCCTCTTTGCCACCAGTGCAAATCTCCTCCTCTCCGCTAGTACTGCAAAGGGTAAATCACCATATATTGCCAATGTGTTGCCTGCAAACTGTATGTTCCCAGTAGCCCTGGAGTGATTCATGATCACGTCTCTCACTGCTATCATGATCACAGCTCTCACTTGTGGTTGCAATAGTGTCTCTGGGGACTTCGCTAGGCACTGGAGTGGACTTTCTCACTCAGAACACTGAGGTGATTTGCAGGGCGTCTGTGCACCCCTTAACGCCCATAGATGCAATCAGGTCTCTTGTGAACTGTAGCAGCTGTTCACCTTCTACTGACTCTGGGATTTCTCGGATGCGTATGTTACCAGTGTTGTCACCACTTGGCTCAGTTGTTGCATCTGTGAGGTGAGTCCCTCTATTTGCCTCTTGCCGTCTTGGATTTGGTTGTCTCTTGTAGTCTCTCTTGCATCCACTGCCCTTACTTTCTGGTGGATTACACCCATATCAGTTTGTGTTTCCAATAAGTCCTCTTTCCAGACCTTCCTGAGGTCTGTTTATAGCCTCTTTACGTCCCCTTTTGTCAATGGGGATGAGTCCACCTTTGGTTCGGAGTGCTGGTAAACTCCACTCGGGCTAGATGAGGCACTAGACTCTTCGCCCTCCTGTCCTCGAAGGCCTCTAGTTTAGTTTGAGTTTCAGGTGCCATCTTAGGTGGTGGTTACAGTTCAGACATTTCAAAAGAGAGCCTAATATCTGGCAGACAGGGAATTAATGGGGGATGGCTCTTTCGTTTTTTGTGCCCCATTCTGTCATTTGGGGGGTACTGGTAAATATTTGCTTGGTAAACTGTAATTGTCGTGCATTTTGTCTCTACTTGGTGGGACCTTAGCGGAGCTCCATGGAAAGACGTCTGGCACATTACTAGGGTATTTAACCATTCTATCATGTAATATTTCAATAGAGGAATAATTGAAAAAAAAATGTGCATGCTATAAAGCTATTTAAAAAAAAATATTCTGCATATGAATAGCTCTGATAAATGTGTTTTTTAAACAATAATATAAAATAAAAATGTTATTATTGGCACTTATATGTAAAACCTACTACACCATAGAACATTTCTCTCCACTGTTTCCATTTCAATATTTTGCTGAGGACTCGTTTTATAAAGAGAACTCATTTATATGAAGTTCCGTTATATCCACAAGTTGGGATTGTATCACTTTAGGTGCATTCGTCAGAGCTAATTTATAGCTCACGACAGTGTAAGTGCATCTATTTACTTAACTATTGGATCTCTCTCTGTTGCTTATCTTTCATAGCTCACATGAGTCCTAACTTCCATTCTCCTTGAATAAAATTAAAAGTGTCAATGTGATATAAAGTGAAATGAAGGAACATGTTGGGACATAAATTAGATATATATTTTTTGTTATTTTGAGTATATTTTGCTATTTTAACTTACTGAAAATAAAACAGTCTAAATAAATAAAAAATAGCAAATTGGGGGGCAGAGCTTGAGTTTTAAGCTGAGTAGATGTGCATCACATATGTTCATCCTGCTGGTTTTCTGGGGATATCCCCAGTTATTACCTCAATCCTGACCTTATTGCACTCTGATTTAATCGGGGTTGCTGAGACGAATCTGTAGACCCCTTAAACCAGCAGGAAATTAAAGTGGTGCCTTGTGGCATACAGGTACCTGGGGGAAGGCAGAAACGATTTCCCCGCTCTTTTGGTTTCTGTGCAGACAGATTGTGTTATCCTAGTTCCCGCTGGATTGTCTCACCTTCTGACTAGTGAAGATGGCACACTACTCTTGCCTACACAGCAGTACAATCCATCATGGCCTATGGCCACCTCTGGCTGCACTGACTCCAATGCTGACATACGGAGCTCTCAGTGAATCCACTAAATGCTCTCTGCTAAAAATGGAAGAAATATTCACAAGATTATGGGCTAAGCTGGAGGAGTGATCTGCAGCTTCACCTCTCCTGCATAAGGATAAGACCTTCACTATTGGTGAGATGAAATTCGAGGATTAGGAGAGCCCCTCTGGGTAACACATACAGACAAGCTCCTGTTCCTCACCTCACATACCCACCTAGGCTAAGGGGCACCTAGGGCTTAATTCCACCTCATCCACCACTTCAGCAATGGTCCGTTACTTAAAAGACCTGGACTTCCTGCTGTATCCTGTAAGGGAAGGACTTGGCTTCTATGAATCTCCAAGTCCGTAGAAAGGAAAAGCTGACCCTTGAACAGGCCTGGTGCTGGAGGGATCCCTTACTTCAGCACCATCGTGTTGATCTCCCTGATGGACTTTCTGTCTATTTGATATTTATGTCAAGTGCTGGTGTGGGCTGAAGCTTTGATCCCTGATATAAGAAGGTCTAAACAATGTGAGATGGGTTCCGGAGAACACCAAAGCCATCATGCTGTATTATTCTGTTTATTTGGACCTGTTGTTTTTTTATATTTGTTTCTTTGCCCTTATATTGTTTAGTGTGTCAAGCCAGAAATTGCGAGTGCCAAAAATTGACACGTTCATAAGTAAGCATGTCATATAATGCTCTCTAATATTGAATGTCCTGTCCTGTCTAAGCCAACAGTAAAACAAGCTTACCAAGAAAGTTAAAAGACACTAGTACTCGGCAATAACTCTCATGCCCAGCCAGCCTTACTTACTTTTGTTCTTAATCTTAAAGATTTACCTCACATAGATTGCTTGTGTAACAGACTGCTATATTTTTGCTGTTTTGCTTTAAGTTTTGAGATCTTGATCTTTGCCCTTTCCCCTGTCATGTGAGGAGGAAGGGCTATAGTGGCAGGAAGAAGAGGACAGGGGAGAAGCCATATTCTCTAGCTCTGCATAAAGAAAGTGTGTTCCTACCTGTTTCAATTATCTATCTAATAAAAACAGGGGAAGGCTAGTACAATAAGTTGGAGACTCTCTGCTGCTCTGCTAGGAGAATTAGAAGACTTTTATTTTATATTCAGGTCCCTGCAGATTCTGGAACTTTCTGCAGTAGTGTGAATGAGCTTTTTCCTCCTGACAGCAGAAGGAAGAGAAAGAATTGCCATTGCTGTTCTGCTGCTGTCCTACATTATACTGGATCTCTCTGGAGATATCTGCAGTTACAAAAGTCATTCAAGGTACTGTCTCCAGAGATTGCTTCAGGATTCTCCCTTATAACTGTATCTGGGTAGCGGTACCTACACCTAAGGGCCCCAGTGTTGTGCACATCATTTATCTGCAGGTACCTATGAGTTTAACTGTTTAGATGTAGTTATTGATGTTATTAAGGGCATTTTGTTGTCTGCATTCCTGCTGTTAAAGACTCTTGTGACTGTATCATTCCTATATCTGGGACTTTATCACGATTTAACATTAGCCAGGACCTGCCTTGTTATGGCTGTTATATGTGTCTCTTTTTATCCACAATCCTGTGTGTATTTTAATGTCTGTATTTATTTCATGTCTCTGAGGTATTATTAAGTGGAGATTACTAATCTACTCAGTGGGGTGGGTTCCCCATGAATAGAAGTTGCACTGAGTGTAGGGACTGTGTTAGAACAAGATGTCTCGATCTTCCAACTATAGCGGAGACTCAGGATCCCTGTCAGTGACAGAATAAGCTGTAACTGCTGCTAACTACGGCTTGTTGCCAGGAGCAGGGCAAAAAGGGGTTACACTTGTGTTTCAAATTACAGTTTTTGACACCTAGTCAGACAGGACGGCCTGTCTTGTTTATTATTATTATTTTATATTATTTTCATAAAAATTGTGTGATTACTTAATATGCCCGCCGATGTATCAGTTTATATGATATTTCTAGGTTTGCGGTTGCTGTTGTGACATTGCACGCTTGTTTGTACTCACACTGCAAAAATGAAGAATCTAAAAAATAAATTAATTACAAATAAGTATAAGAACAAACTATTTATTTTTGTAAATTTAAATAAAGACTATTTAGTTATAATGCTCAGGATCCCTGTCGGCGACAGAAGAAGGTGTAACTGCTGCTAACTTTAGCTTATTGCCAGGAGCAGGGCAAAAAGGGGTTACAGATGGAGGCACTGCTAAGATGAATTGGGATTTCAAAATTGTTAAAAAAATCCAATGTCTCAGCCCCAAAAAGTCAGGGACTGGGCCAGGAAGAAATTCATGCCCCCTAATCAAGTAGTAGCTTTGTGTAACATGCCTCTCAACCTGGAGAGGACATGTTCTGATGATGCCATTTGACAGATCCCAGGGTTACAGAAATTATGCCTTATACAGACACAGAAGGATGAGAAGGCGAGGGTGGCTGTTGCTCTAGAGAGGAGTCATAGGCCACTAAATAAAGAAGATTGTCCTAAGTATTTACGGTTGCCAAAGACTCAGGTCCCTGGAAGTCCTCTGATTTATGCTCAAGATAAGTCAGAAGAAGAAAGTGACCCCAATGATGGGGACAGTGATCATATATTTGGTATCCCTCCTAGGAGAATAATTATGACTGATACTGAAGGAGAAGACAGTGATGAACATGCACAATAGCATCTGAAACTGACCAAAAGCAGCAGGACCCATAGGAAGCTTCCAAGTGTTCCCAAGTCAGAATACAGACGAGAGCCTTTCCCTAAATGAAGTCTTAACTCAGTTATCTAAAAGTGTCCAAGCATCTAATGAGCATAATTACAAGAGACTTAAAGTTTTCTCTGGGGTTATGCCAGTGCCAACTGGGGAAGAAGGATTTGTTCTGTGGAGAAGTAATGTAACCCAGGCACTAAAGGAGTGGACTTGTACTGAAGAGTCCAAGTCACTGAGGTTGATCGAAGGCCTAGATCTTCTGCAGATCTTCTGCACTAGAATTAATAAAGTGTCACTTACTACGCTTCCCAAATTATCCTGCTGGTGATCTTTTAAAGGGACCAAGCATGTCAAACTCAAAGGCTAGCAAGGACCAAATAAACAAGGTATCATTTTATGTATACCACAAAAAAACTAAAACTTATATTTTCATAAAAACGTATGTTTATTTTGAAAAGTACAGTAGAAAAAAAACAGCGGCCACCTCTACTAAACCTCCTGTCCCATGTCTACTAAACCCCAGTCCCCTCATCTACTAAACCCCAGCCCTCCCTCATCTACAAAATCCCATTCCACCCTCATCTACTAAATTCCAATCCCCCCTCATCTACTAAATCCCAGCCCACCTTCGTCTACTAAATCCCAGTCTCCCCCTCTACTAAATCTTAGTCCCCCCTCATCTACTAAATGCCAGTACCCATGTCTACTAAACCCCTGCACCTTTAAAAAAAAAAATACCAAAAAAAACCATTACCCAACAAGCAGTGTTCGGCCTCTGGTATAACCCCAATGGCCCCATCCTGCACCACCTTAAAAAAGCGGATCCTCCCATTACTCTTTGAAACCCTAACACACACTCAATGAGACACACTCACTGACATTCACACAGAATCACTCCGATACACACATACGCTCACATATACACACATTCACTGACATCCACACACTGACAGACACACAGGTTCCCTCACAGACAGACTCACTCACAGAAAAAACACAATCACTCACAGGGTCCCTTACAGACACACACTGACATACACACACTCAATCAATCAATCAATCACACAAACACACACACACACAGCCATGCACACAGGCAGGCATGCACACAGACAGCTATACACATAAACAGCCATACACACAGACAGCCATGCACACAGACAGTCATACACACAGACAGCTATACACACAGACCGTCATACAGACAGCCATGGACACAGACTCAAAGACAGCCATGCACACACACACACAGACAGCCACACATATACACAGACAGCCATATAGACAGGCCTTGGACATATACAGCCATACACACAGACAGCCAGGCAAACAGCCATACACACAAACACACAGACAGCCATACACACACACAGCCATACAGACAGCCATGGACCAAGACAGCCATACACACGGACAGCCATGCACGCAGACAGCTATACACACACAGACAGCCATATATACACACACAGACAGCCATATACACAGAGAAAGCAATGCACACAGACAGCCATGCACACAGACAGCAATACACACACACCAATACAGACAGCCATACACACACAGCCATACAGATAGCCATACACACACACACACAGACACACACAGACACACCCACACAGACAGCCATATAGACAGGCCTTGGACACATACAGCCATACACACAGACAGCCATACCATCAGCCATGTACACATGCGCATAGAGCTGGGGGTGCACAGGCAGTGAGGGAGCGCTGAGTGTAAGCTCTCCCTGCTAAGCGCACCACAGAGTGCTTCCGTGAGCCGGAGTGACGTCATATTCCAGCTCCTGGCATCAATGCGGGGAGCTAAGTAGGGAGAGCTTACACTCAGTGCTCCCTCGCTGCAGCCCACGGGCCACAAACATATTAGTTGTGGGCCGCATGCGAGTTTGACATGCCGTGTTAGACCATACTTATGGTGAGGAGATAAAGAGGAAGAGCTCCGGTTACAATATTCTGCCATGGTTCAACAGGAGAAGAAACCCTCACCTCCTATCTCATACAATTAGAATTAATGCTAGGAAAGTTGTTTGAGAACAATGTTATCACATCCGATAAGTATAGTGAATATAGAAGGAGGCATGTTCTAAGAGGAACTCTACCAAATGATCCTATAGCTTTGGTCATCCTTCTATGTGCTAAGGGTTGTTGGATTATGCTAAAACAATGAAAGAAGCCAAAATAATTTGACCATATCCTCAAGCAACATGATGGCATAAAGAAATCATCATCACATGAATATCAGAAAGCACCTAAGACTAACTTACCAACAGCCATATTAAACAGGAAAGAGACCATAGTTCAAAGCTCTTGGAAAGGAAGAAAGAAGTTCTCTGGTGACAACTTGGCTGGGAGTTCTAGAGTAGGACCAAAATCCCTTGTATCTCTTGTGATTGAAGGCATCCATGCTTCTGTCCTCCTAGACACTGGGTCTCAAGTAACAATAGTCTTCCAGTCTTTCTATGAGGAACATCTAAGCCATTTGCCAATGTTACCCGCAGATGATGTGAATTGTGGGGGCTAGGTTCTCAGACTTACCCCGTTGAGGGAGTAATTAAAGTACAGATTGTGATTCCTCAATTGGACACTGGGAAAGAATGCCCTACACATGTGGAGGCTTTGGTGTGCCCAAATCTAAATTGTCATATTGTCATATTGGGGACTAATACTCAGATGGTGAGAGACGTGTTTTGAGTTTACTTGAAAGAAATGGGCAATGCCTGCTTAAACAAATTTAATGAACTAGAACCACCTCTGAGGCAAGAATGTCACGGACTAGCTCTTGAAGCTGGAACAGGTCAGTTCCATTATTGGGGGCCAACGCCTGTGTCAGTTTTGCCTCTAGTCTCTTCCTGAAGAGGATTCAATTAAGGCTGGACTATCATGCCCGAGGTAAAAGATTGGCTAAGTAAGAAAATTGATGTGTTTGCAGTAACCATTCACAATCACTCACCAATTGATGTATGCATAGAACATTGCCAGAAGCTAGGAGTGATCAATCTTTTGGAAGATGTAAGTCCCATTTCATCTCTGCCAGTTGGATTGAGACAATATTCTGTTCAAGGGTTGAAATTTGATTTAGAAGGTATCAGTCTACCTGCAGAATGGAAAGATAGATTACAAAGGCTCTTCAGGCTAGAGAAGAAGTTTTCTCTAAAGGGTATATGGACATAGGATGTGCCAAGAGTTCTCAGCATGCCATTTGGCTAAATGATTCTACCCCATTTAGAGAGAGATCTCGAAGGATAGCTCCTCACAACACTGAAGATGTAAGGGATATCCTTCATAAAATGGAGGAAGCAGAGATTATTCAGGAATCAAGAAGCCCATGTGCATCACCTATAGTGGTGGTCAGAAAGAAAAATAGGTCAGTACGTCTTTGTGTTGATTACTGTACACTGAACAATAGAACTATTCCTGATCAATATACCTTGCCAAGAACAGAAGATTTTATGAATGCCTTGAATGGCAGCCGGTGGTTCACTGTCTTTGACCTTCGCCCTGTATACTATCAAGTCCCTATGAAGGTGGAGGATCAAGAAAAAACCTTTATTTGCTCTGTAGGATTCTTCCAATTTACTTGCATGCCTCAAGGTGTTTCAGGAGCTCCTGCAACTTTCCAGCGATTAATGGAGAAGACTCTAGGATATATGAGCCCTAGGGAATGTCTAGTTTATCTGGACAATGTAATTGTATTTGGAAAAAACCATGAAGAGCATGAAAAACATCTGTTAATGGTAATAGATCGTCTACAAAGGGAAGGCCTGAAGTTGTCTCTTGATAAGTGTAAATTTGCTCAGACTTCTGTAACATATGTTGGACACATTGTATCAGCAGATGGTGTTGCCTCAGACCCAGACAAAGTAGAAGCAGCCATCAACTGGCCTACGCCCAACAACATTGATGAATTGCGTTGGTAACTAAGCTTCGCTGCAACTATCCTGTGGTAGTGTCTGACATCTAATGAATAATTGCCTCTCAATGCTCAAGCCTCAATTTCTCAGAGGCAAAATGTAGATGTCGGTGGAAAACTAGTCAAGTATTACCTAAGGTAGCTAAGATGTCTATTGCTGCGGTATGCGGTAGTAACATGCTGACATCTTTTGGTATATTACAATGCTACCCGAGCCCCTATTTATTTTAATGTATTCACATTTATTCACACTTATTTTCTTTTCCTTTTATAATTTTTGCTTAGGTGCACATATTGCACCTATTTTACTCAGTGAAATAAAAGTTAAGTTTTAGTACATTGCTTGTTCTCACATAGATAGATATGATTTTAGAGATTTATTTTTGGTTTTTGTTCTTGTTTTTCTATTTGAATTTACTATTTAGGGGTTACCTCCCCATTTTTTCATAAATCTCCCTAGTACCTATCTTTACGCCATTGTTATATATTGGCTTCTCTTTTTTTCTTTTTGCATTTTTGCTCGATATGCTCAAGCCTACTCCACCAAGGGTCAGAAGGGTACAGTCGCTAAAGTGTTAGGGCAGAAATTCTTTACCCCTTATGGGTTTCCTAAACAATTACATTCTGTCCAAAGTCAAGATTTTGAAAGCAGAATAATTAAAGAAATGCTGAGACTGTTACAGATTAAGAAAACTAGAACAACTCCATATCATCCTGAAGGAGATGCTCTTCTGGAGAGATTCAATAAAACTCTATTGGATACGTTTTCTTCTTTTGAAGTTCACACTGTCCGCCTATTTAAACCCACTCCTTTAAGAATTGCTATCATCTACCACCCCCCCTGGTTATCCTAGACTATTCATTGAGCACTTTTCTTCCTGGCTTCCCCACTTCCTTTCATCTAGCACTCCTTCCCTTATACTTGGGGATTTAAATATCCCGATCAATAACCCCAATTGCACTGATGCCTCTCGTCTGCTTTCTGTAACCTCCTCCTTTGGCCTTACGCAATGGTCCAATCTAGCAACCCATGCAGCAGAAAATACTCTTGATCTTGCCTTCACCAACCTCTGTACTGCCTCTAATCTCTCCAATATTCCCTTTCCTCTATCTGACTACCATCTGCTGACTTTTGACATTGGCATACCCAAGACCCAATTAACACCACCGTCTGAACATCACTCTCACAGAAACCTCCAATGTCTTGACCTAGAGCATTTCTCTACTAATCTCCAAACTCTCCTTTTACCTATCTCAAACCTCACCTGTCCTAGTTCTGCAACCTCCTTCTACAATTCCACCCTCTCCTCTCAACTAGACATCATGGCACCTTGTACATTTAAACGCCGCAGGCCCCCCCAACAATAACCCTGGCACACCAAGCTCACTCGATACCTCCAAAAATGCTCCAGAACTGCTGAACGCTGTTGGAGAAAGTCTCACTGTGCATCTGACGAGCTCATACAGCTTGGCTCGTTACTCTGCAAAAGTTAATTACTTCAATACACTCATAACCACACTCTCCCGCGAACCCAAACGACTATTTCACACATTTAACTCTCTTCTTCGCCCTACTGTTCCTCCTCCACCTACTAACTTGACCGCCTCAGACTCTGCAACTCACTTCACTGACAAGATCTCTACAATCAGAGAAGAGATATCTCATCTTTCTTCTTCGCCTTACAATACTTCCCCTAACTTCACTCCCTCTGCTGTTCTATGTTCATTCGCACCCGCTACATTAGAAGAGGTTTCTGCTCTGCTCCAGTCCTCCCGCCCCACCACCTGCTCCCTAGATCCAATTCCCTTGCACCTCATCCGTACTTTGTCTTCTTCTCTTTCTCCACCTCTCACTTAAATTCTCAATCTCTCTCTCTCCTCTGGTATATTTCCATTGCCCTTCAAACATCCAACTGTAAGCCCAATTCTAAAGAAGCCCAATCTTGACCCTAACTCCCCAATCTAACTATCGTCCTATCTCGCTACTGCCTTTTGCATCCAAGATCCTTGAAAAAATTGTGTATGCGAGATTAACAGACTTCCTCGAGTCCAACTCTCTGCTAGACCCGCTTCAGTCTGGTTTCCGCGCTAAGCACTCTGTGGAAACAGCACTGACCAAAGTATCCAATGATCTACTCGCTGCAAAATCTTGTGGTCACTACTCTATCCTAATTCTCCTTGACCTGTCTGCGGCTTTTGACACTGTTGATCATCAACAGCTTCTTCTCATCCTCCGCAATATCGGTCTACAAGATACTGCTCTCTCCTGGTGCTCCTCCTACCTCTCCCAGCGCTCTTTTAGTGTTTCTTTCTCTGGCTCTGCTTCTTCGCCCCAACTCTTCTCTGTTGGTGTCCCCCAAGGTTCAGTCCTTGGTCCCCTACTGTTCTCCATCTATACTGCCTCCCTTGGTAAACTCATTAGCTCCTTTGGCTTCCAATATCATTTCTATGCAGATGACACGCAAATCTATCTGTCCTCTCCTGATCTCTCCCTGTCCCTCTTGACTAGTGTCTCTGACTGCCTCTCTGCTTTTTCTAACTGGATGGCTGCCCACTTCCTTAAACTAAATTTGACCAAAACTGAAATTCTGGTCTTTCCTCCCTCAAGTGTTGTTACTCCTGTGTCTGTCTCCCTCCAAGTCAACAGTGCTACCATCAGCTCCACCACGCAGGCTCGTTGCCTAGGTGTTCTCTTTGACTCCGACCACTCCTTCAAGCCTCATGTTCAATCTATCGCCAAATCCTGTCATTTCCATCTCAAAAACATTGCGCGCATCCGCCCCTACTTAACGCCAGATGCGACTAAGGTGTTGGTCCATTCCACTGTCCTTTCTCGCCTTGACTACTACAATCCACTTCTCAGTAGTCTTACGTGCTCCCAACTAGCGCCATTACAGTCCATAATGAATGTGGCGGCGAGGCTCATCTTCCTGTCCGCCCGCACCTCCCATGCCTCACCCTTCTGTCAGTCCCTACATTGGCTGCCTATAAAATATAGAGCTCAATTTAAAATTCTGGTTCTTGCTTTCAAATCTCTACATAATGCTGCTCCTACCTATCTATCCTCCCTTATACACAAGTATGTCCCGTCTAGGCCCTTACGATCTGCTGAAGACTTACGTCTATCTTCTGTCCGTACTCCCACCTCACCGCTCACCCAGTCTACACTTCAAAAAATCGTTAAAAACCCACTTCTTCATAAAAGCGTATCAATTAAACTGTCAATAGCTCCTGACTGATTCCTCTTCTGCAACTGTCATTAGTCTAATACTATCCTTACCTTTTTGTGTCATTTTACTCCACTCCCTCTAGCATGTAAGCTCATTGAGCAGCGCCCTCAACCCCTCTGTTCCTATGTGTCCAACTTGTCTGGTTACAACTACATGTCTGTTCGTCCACCCATTGTAAAGCGCTGCGGAATTTGATGGCGCTCTATAAATATCATAATAATAATAATAATAATAATAATGTTAGGCACTCTTAAAGATGTAGAGAAGAGGAATTGGAGTCAACATGTAGAAACTCTGGTCCACGCTTATAATTGTACCAGACATGAATCCACTGGGTTTTCCTCTTACTTTTTGATGTTTGGCCGGGAGACAAGATTGCCTATTTAGAGATAAAGTACTCTTGAGAAACCTGGGAGTGTCAGGAAAGCATAAATTAGCAGATCGCTGGAGAGACACTCTCTTATTTCCAAAGTTCCCGGGATTCCTATGTATAGAATAAAAGGGCCTGAGGGTAGGATCAAAGCTTAGCATAAAAATCACCTATTACTAATTGCTCTCTCTGGTAAAAATTCTAATTTAGAGGAAAACACTGGTGAAGCCAATAGGAATTCCAGCAAACAGCCTCTCTTAGAAACTGACTCAGAAGACAGCCCCGGAGAAGGTCCTAGCGGGAAATCGCCAACTAATGATAAAGAAGAAGCTACTGTTTCTAGCCCTGAAAGAGACAGGCGTACAGAGCCAGAAATACAGTTGGTCCCTTCTACATCTGCTCCCTCTCCTTCTTCCTTATCATCTGGATTGAATCCTGAAAGTCCCAGCTTTGTCCCTCATTCACCAGTTAGAGACTCTAACTCTATGCGAGGATCTGGACCTCTGTCTATCTGATCCCTTCCCAATGGTGTGGGTGAAAGACCCTGTGATGAAGAAATTAGTGGACAACCACAGAGCAACCTAGGTAGAGGCAGAGAAAATCGGAGGGCCTTAATTTATAGCAACATTGGGGAACCCACCTATTCTCAGAACCCCCACACTTGCACTAAGTTAATCAATGCATTGCATACTTTGACTGAAATATTGTGTGATAGAACTTCCCTGTATTAGATTGTATTGTACCATCTTGTAAAATGGTTATAAACTGGATAGACTGCTCTTGTCAGTGGAAGGCAAACATTCCACAGAGGGGAGGATGTAACAGACTGCTATATTTTTGCTGTTTTGCTTTAAGTTTTGAGATCTTTAACTTTGCCCTTTCCCCTGTCATGTGAGGAAGAAGGGCTAGAGTGGCAGGAAGAAGAGCACAGGGGAGAAGCCATATTCTCTAGCTCTGCATATAGAAAGTGTGTTCCTACCTGTTTCAATTATCTATTCCTGCTGGGACAGTGAAATAAAAACAGGGGAAGGCTAGTGCACTGCTATTACAAGAAGTTGGAGACTGTCTACTGCTCAGATATAGTTATTGATGTTGTTAAGGGAATTTTGTTGTCTGCATTTCTGCTGCTAAAGACTCTTGTGACTGTATCATTCCTACATCAGGGACTTTATCACCATTTAACATTAGCCAGGAGCTGCATTGTTATTTCTACTGGTATATGTATATCTCTTTATCCACAATACAGTGCGTATTTCCATGTTTGTATTTATTTCATGTCTCTGAGGTATTATTAAGTGGAGGGTACTCATCTACTCAGTGGGGTGGGTTCCCCATAAATAGAAGTTGCACTGAGTGGAGGCACTGTGTCAGAACAAGATGTCCCAGTCTTCCAACTATAGCGGAGGCTCAGGATCCCTGTCAGCGACAGAAGAATGTGTAACTGCTGCTAACGACAGCTTGTTGCCAGGAGCGGGGCAAAAAGGGGTTACACTTGTGTTTCAAATTACAGTTTTTGCCACCTTGTCAGACAGGACTGCCTGTCTTGTTTATTATTATTATTTTCCTAAAAATTATGTGATTACTTAATATGCCCGCCGATGTATCACTTTGTATGATATTGCTAGGTTTGCGGCTGCTGTTGTGGCATTGCACACTTGTTTGTACTCACACTGCAAAAATTAAGAATCTAAAAAAATAAATTAATTACAAATTAGTATAAGAACAAACTATTTATTTTAGTAAATTTAAATCAAGACTATTTAGTTATAATGCTTTGTACATCTATGAATTTTAAATACCAGTCTGCTATTGTACATTTCCCAAGGCATTCATTTGTCATTTTAGTAACTTTTTTGTTGATCTGCCATCTTCAGTTCAACATATATTTGTCTGACCTATCTATTACACCTAGTGTGTGTGCTGTATAGGCTACCTCAAAATTACAGAATGATCAAATATGCTCTATGCAAGGGTTGCCCAAAAGGTAGACTCCCAGATGTTTTAGAACTATAACTCCTATACATAGGCGTGCGCACGGGGTGTGCCGGGTGTGCCTGGGCACACCCTAATCTCCGCGGCACGCCTATGTATATTGAGACCGGCAGGGGAGATCTCAGGATCTCCCCTGTTGGCTCATGCAGAGCCAGCGCTATCCGAGCGCCGGCTCTGCTCTCAGCCTCCCTCCCCACTGACCCGCATGCAGGGAGGGAGGCAGGAGAGGACCGGCAGCTCCGCCGGGTTCCTCTCACGAGATATGATCGTTGCCACGGCAACGCTCAAATCTCACGAGAGTGAACTCTAGCCCCACAGGGGCTAGAGTTCACTCTCCACTGGACCACCAGGGATGGAATCAGAAGCAACAAGGATCCCCCCTCCCTACAAAAGGTAAGAAGGGAGGGGGGATAGCAAGTAATGTACCCCCACCTCCACCCCCACAATCACCCACACACATACAGCACCCACACACACAGCACCCACACACATACAGCACCCACAGACATACAGCACCCACAGACATACAGCACCACACACATACAGCACCCACACACACACAGCACCCACACACAAACGGCATCCACACACATACAGCACCCTCACACATACAGCACCCACACACATACAGCATCCACACACATACAGCACCCACACACATACAGCACCCACACACATACAGCACCCACACACATACAGCACCCACACACATACAGCACCTACACACATACAGCACCCACACACATACAACACCCACACAGCACCCACACAGCACCCACACACATACAGCACCCATACACATACAGCACACATACAGCACACACACATACAGCACACATACAGCACCCACAGACATACAACACCCACAGACATACAGCACCCACAGACATACACAGCACCCACAGACATACACAGACACACACACATCACCCACAGACACAGCACCCACAGACATACACAGCACCCACAGACATACACAGCACCCACACACATACAGCACCCACAGACATACACAGCACCAACACACACACAGCACCCTCACACACAGCACACAAACAGCACCCTCACACACACACAGCACACTAACGGTACCCTCACAAACACAAACAGGACCCTAACAAACACACACACAGCACACTACCAGTACCCTCACACACAAACAGCACCCTCACATACAGTACATTAACAGCACCCTCACAAGTGCACACACACACAAACAGCACCCTCACACACAGTACATTAACAGCATCCTCACAAGCACGCACACACAAACACCCTCACCAACATTGCACACTACCAGCACCGTCACACACACATCACACTAACAGCACCCTCACACAGCACACAAACACACTCAGCAGTGTGTGTATGTGTATATATGTGTATGTATATATATATATATATATATACACACACATATATATATATATATATACATACATATATATATATGCGGCGTGTGCTTGTGCTTTGGGGTGCACACCCTAATGCAATAGGCTGCGCACGCCTATGCTCCTATAATGCTTTGCATCATTTTGAACTTCTTTAGAATAAAAATACATCATGGAAGGTTTTGTTTGAAAACATCTGGGGATCTACCTTTTGGGTGCAACTACCCTAAATAAATGATTTCTAATTTTTAACAATCAATATCAGTTTAATCTGTTCTGATCTGTCTGTTATTCCTACTTAGGTAACAGTCTACCCCACAAAAAATATAAAAATTATCAAATGAGCAAACAATAGCTGCTTATGCTAATGAGTTTAATGGTTGCTAGTTTAAACCTAAATTCGGTATTCTTGTTTGAAGTAAATCTCCTGATGTGAAACAACTTTAAAAGTGTTTACTAACACAAAGAGTAGGATTAGGGAAGACATAAGGTAAATATTATTTTGATAAAATGACATCTGCGGATTACATTTGGTGTTTTGCCATTACAGAGTTAAGTGTCAACATAAATTGTAAACTACATGATAAACATTATTATGTCTTCTTTCTTAATTTCCATAAACTGTAGGCAATATAATTAAATTAAATGTATTCACATTGAATAATTATATGGAATAGTTCACACTTCCAAGCGTTTAACATTTTCATAGTGTTTCCCAATTTTTGTTTAGCATCTCTAGTTTTTCAAGTTTTTAGATCATGATCTCTGCTTAGATTACTAAATATTCTTGATTTTCAAAAAAATACTAAACAATGCTATCTCTTTTACATTATGTTCCCATGAAATAGTGTTCTTGTCATCATGTGTTTGGGAACCCATGGTACAACTAGATGTGTGCTAGTTCTATTATTTTACTTCACATCAGAGCATTCCTTAAAACAAAATGAAAGTCACAAAATGTAATGTTTATAACAGACTGTATGTAACTGAATATTGGTAACTACTACATTGTAACTATCTATTCTATGCTTGTGGATACCCCCCTCCCCCCTTTTTTCCTTTCTGTACCCCCCACATGGTTGTTTTGAAAACTCAATAAAATACGAATTTGAAAAAAACAAAAAAACAAAATGAAAGTGTTGGTTATTTTTTCTTTTTTGACAATCTTTATTTTGCAGTATTTTTCAAAATATGACTAAACAAACAGACTTGTAACAGGTGAAGTAAAATTCAGGGCAAATAGGGTAAATATTAAATGACTTTGATCAAACCTGGACTGCATTGGGTCAGCAGGAAAACATGGCATGTCTCAGGCATTAAAAAAAAGGATAAAACACAATTAGGGGGGTTGGAAAAAAAGAAGGGTATGTAAGGGTAGGGACAGGGGAAATATTTCTAAGTGAAAACAAATAAAACAAATACTTCTAAGAGGTCAACTATGGACAAAGGAGGGGCGTGGCCACGGTGCTGAACAAGATGGATGCTTAATCGGTGTGCTCTGCTCCACTAAGCCCATAAAAAGCCTCCCATAATTAGCTATGGCCAGCACATGGGTCGAAACCGCCGCACAGAACCCCCCAAACCGGGACAACAACAAGGCCCGATGGACGGCTTCTTGCAATCCCAACGTGGGACCGGCGGTGAGGCTGAGAACTTGAGATCAGCACCGCCGTCTCCTGCCTCTACATCTGGCACTGAATCCTCCGCACTGGATTGGATTGGGGAAGAATTACGGTCAACAGCGACCTCGATGGCCACCAAGACCAACCTATTAACCCTAACTACCACCATCCAGGATGCCCTGCGTGCGGAGATGGCAGTAATCAGGATGCATGTAAGCGCCCAAGCAGGCCGCATTCAAACCCTGGAACACTCACTTGAAGCCCAGTCCACCAGGATCTCAGCGATGGACGCGGCGATCAATCGGCAGGGAGAACTACTCCTCAGCATGAGACACCACATGGAAGACCTGGACAATTGGGGCCGCAGGTGCAACATCTGGGTCCGGGGAGTGCTGGAGGCCAACAGAGGGGAGAACGCTGAAGAAATCTTATCGGGCCTGTTCAAGAGCCTTCTGCAAAATGAAGCTCCACAGTGATTTAAATTTGAGCGGGCACACAGGGCCCTACGACCCCATTCCCTGGAGGACAGACCGAGGGATCTGATATGCTGCCTCCACTCATACCAGGTTAAGGAAGCCGTAATGCGAAAGGCCCGAGAACGGCCCACGTGGCCATACCTGGGTTCCCAAGTATCCCTTTATAACGACTTATCACCAATAACACTGGAAGCTATGAGAGCACTCCGTCCGGTCACCACAGCACTCTGCGACCACAACATTGCATACAAAAGGGGGATCCCATTCGCCCTGCTAGCCCGACATCAAGATGGCTGGGCGTCAGCCAGAAGCCCAGAAGAAATCCCCCGATTCCAGGAGGAATTGGGCTTTTCACCCATCCCTGGTGCCAACTGGATCCTTGAGCCTCTGGAACCGAGGCCCCGAGCACAACGGGCACCCTGAAGATGCAGAGGCGGGTTCCTGCCGGGACCTCAACCACGACAATGCCCAGAACCTGGAGAGCCTGCAGAGAGCCATGATAAACAGGATACAACAGACCCTATGGGCAAAATCAAACATTGATACATCCACTATTGTATAGATAATTACTAACCTTGCCACCACACCGTTATTATGTAATTCACACCATGCTATGTGTGAGAAAAAAAAAACGAGGATCAGCATAATGTGGGAGGTGGGAGGGATGGGTGCACAAAGGAGTTACCAAATGTTCTGGTAATTGATCCCCTGATATGGCACGAATAGATAGATTAAACAATGCCACCACAATTGTTTATGACATTTATACTCACGCTACATCTGTGGATGTATAAGCTTGTAATCTGTTGACTTTTCTAGTGAAAGAGCTGTCACCTCACACCAGTTTCTATGTAGGCAACACTGTACGTAACTTGTGTTCTCTCATGAAGCTAAAATTTACTTGGGACCTGCAAGTCCGCACAGTTGATTTCTCCATTACTGTACCTCAAACTTTCTATAACACAATAAAAGATTCTAAAAAAAAAACTAAGGCCAAAGGACTGACTCCTATGAGCTGGGCCTTACCTTATTGTCACCCACAGCTACATACTAAGTAACACAATGCACATCTAAGCCTCCCTAGACCTCCTTCAAAAGTACATGAGCGACTTGAACACCTAGAGTGCCTGGAGATTTTCTTTCTGTTTGTCTTATCGTTGTGGGATTGCTAGTCCTGCTCCAATGCACCGGGTGTCTGTTGGGACTTAGTGTGGCTCTTATCTTTAATTTATGTAACACAATATATAACATACATACACTGCAAATTTGACCAAGTTAACCAAATAATTCTGTGGTAGAGAAGTATCTTAAAAAAATAATATTGAAATTTTTCAATGCATATTTTATGCGATTTGTTTGTATGGTGGGAACAGACATTAATAGTGATCCAACCATAATTTTTTATGGGTGAATAATAGTGTTAGTAAATTATTTGTGTCGTTAACATAAGACTGTAAATATTTTAACATACCTTTGAAATTATTAATCTACTTGTCTAGACAGTGGCAGAGTGAAAGAGCCCACAGTGGAAATAATTGGCCATTCAGCGGGTTTGTGATATAACGTTTTTATATCTTGCTGCAAACTTTGAAATCTATATCTCTAGTTTTCCTGACATATTAAGTTTATTTATTATTAACTGTTATTAAACAGATACAGTTAAGCAGACTGACCTGGCCTTATGAGAAACAGTTTCAGTAGTGCTATGCAGAAGTTGGCCAACAGGAATAACTGTTAAGCTGGCATTTAATAGATGAGAATATAAAGTGCTGGTGTGCCAGTACAGTTGCTAGATTCTTGGTTGGTGAGTGCCTTTGATGGTCTGTCAGTAGGCATTCACATTAGTAGCTTAAAAAATTCTGCTAAAAAGAGCTTACCCCAAGGACACAGCAACAGTAGAAAACTGCAACAGACAAAAAGCAGCTTAACGGTAATTTGTGTTTCAGCTATAGGGCAGATGACATCTTCTTCGACATTATTTGGCTCAGATGCCATTGTGTGGCTTTCCTCTCTTTTTTATATTTATTTTGTATTATGCAACAGTTTGGCTGTATTTACTTTTTATTGTATGAATTTTTTATATATATTTATATATATTTTTTTCATATATTTTCCTTCATTTTAGGTAAATTTTTAGTTAACATTATTTATTTTGTATATTGTTTCTAACAATAGATATGTTTTATGAGCATTTTCATGCATTGTGCAGTAAATGCATTTTTGGAATATTGCATTTTAGATTTTGTTAAATTAGTATTTTTTTTTTATTGTTTAATTTTTGCATATTTATTTTTTAGTTCTGTTGTTCTTGTGCACCCTTTGCTGTGTATTGTTTGTCTGTCTTTCATTAGTTTAGTGTTGAAAAGTGTCCCATTGCCACTAAAGGGTAACAGAGGATTTGTGTTTTGTGCGATTGCGCTATGGACTTATGGCAATAACTTTATTTTGCTGATGAAGGAGTTGAAATGAAAATAGTGGCAAAGCACATGATTAAGAATGGAAAATAAGATAAATAAGTCAGTCACAGTTGCCAATAATGGACAAGGACAAAATAGAATAGGGGTAGAAGTTGCAGTAATCTAAACAGGGCATTACCAAAATTTATATTAATTTAGTTGCATTTAGTTTTAGGAACTGATGAAACCTGAAGATGATCTGTTAGTTTATTTTGCAGAATGTAGTGAGTGAAAAAAAATGAAAGAATCAAGTCAAAATATAACTCAAAGGCAGTGGTCTAGGAAAACAGACTAAATTGCATCAAGTTCAGCCCTGAAGCCCATTATTTTATGCTGTTGATCCAAAAGAAGGCAAAAAACTGCAAACAATTGAAGCCATTTCAATTATGCCATGAAAAGGAAATAAAATCTTTCTTGACTCCATAAAGGCAATCAGATTTCTCCTTGGATCAACAACCTGTTTACATACATGTCGTTTTTTTTCTTGGATATTTTGTTCATGCAAAAAATCATCCAAGCCTTTTTAAATATCATCTAAAGAATGTGTAAGACAACCACTTTAGGCAGAGAATTCCACATCTTTATTGTTCTTACTGTAAAGAACTATATCCTCTGCTGTAAGTAAAAACATCTTTCTTCATGTCTCAATGGATAACCTCTTGTATGTCGTATATTCCTGCTAATAAGCAGGGTTTTACTACACTGTATATATTTGTATAGTGCTATCATATATCCTGTGAGGGACTTTTTTATTTTCAAATACTTTTATTTAAATTTAAAAAATTTAACACATTATGGTAATTAATTATTACTATAATAATGTAATAATATGAAAAAGTATAACAATAATAAGAAAAGCAATAAATGGGGCAAGGGGGAAATCAGACATGGACTTATTGTATAAGCATACATGACCCATACAAATATGAAAAATAAATCACATCAGATATAACATTATATATTTACTCACAATATTTTTCCAATATTTTATCATCTAGCATGTATAGACTTTTTAACAAAAAGAATACACATTATTTAATAATCTATCTATCTATCTATCTATCTATATATCTATCTATCTATATATACATAAATTGACTTTCTCACCCTTCCTGGTGGTATATTTAGTCCTCATTCTTGGGTCCTCTACCAAAGGGCTGGGATTCCTGAGGGCACTGCACAGTATCTTAGCTTCTCCTAGAACTGCACTCTTTTGGACAGTGATCTTAGATGTCCCACCTGAAATCTGTTGAAACCACTCATCCAACTTGGGAGTCACAGCCTTAAATGTTCTTATCTCAACTGGGACTACTACTGCTTTCACTTGCCATATCCTTTCTAGCTCTTCTTTCAGTCCTTTGTATTTTTCCATCTTCTCATTTTGTAGTCACTGGCTTTTGCTACAACCACCATTACTAGAGTCTTTCGTTCCTTATCTACCACCACTTAGTCAGGTTGGTTGGCCAGTACTTGCTTGTCTGTCTGCATCTGAAAGTCCCACGGAATTTTAGCCCTGTCCTTCACAACTACCCTTTGTGGTGTCCCCATCTGGACTTAGGCAGATCCAGCCTATATTCTAAGCAGATGTTTTGGTACACAATGCCAGCAACCTGTTTGTGCCTCTTATATGCTGTTCATTCTAACATCTTAGCAACCAGCCACTATAAACCAAAAAATAGATGCGTGGGTGGTAAAATAGATAATTACCTAGTGCAGGCAAGCAACTGTCATGAGGTCACTCCCAAATCTCTATAAATTGAAACAACAAAGTCCTGAACATAAAATCAGGAAAAAACAGGGCGCCACAATCACACAGAATAAATAAAACTTCATCTGGAGACTCTCATAGATAGAAGAGACAATCAGTGAAAAAAGATATCCACTTTATTGCAAGTAAAAAAAATAATAATAAACAATAGCACACAATTGTACAAAATCACAAAGTATATATAAAAAGCCAAATATGGCTACAAGCCCTTATGGACAGCAGCTTAGAACATATAAATCACTGTAATAGTATTGAAAGTGCATGTGCCAAAGTACAAGAGTGCAAAGATTCTAAAGTCACTCTCTCACAAGCTGCATGTTGTGGTCGTGACCTAAATATGAATATTAATCTCTTAATACATAATAATTAAACAATACGGAACAACATTAATATTTTTATAATTCATGGTATTATGGTCGAATATGTGGATAAAAAATACACAAAACGTTGTAATATTAAATGTATATTTAATATAACTATAACAAATAAACAGATGCTAGCAGAATGTCAATTTACTACAATTGTGATACAATACAAAACTACAACATATTACTTCAAAAGGTTGCTACATGTTACACAACATTTTACTTACAAGGCCCCAGCCCTTTGGCTGGGGTTAAGTCAGAGCTGGTACTACATCTTAGGTTCAGTCAGGTACAGGCAAAGGGACAGAGTTTTCTCCTCCATCTGGTTTTATTCAGTGTAAGTAGGCTGGCCTGTGATGTCACTGCCAGAAGCACATGTCTTCCTACACACTCCCCCTAGTGGTGCCCCCAAAGCATTACACTAAATATGCTTTCTTTATGATGTAAAGTCATTAATTAATAAATACCATTACAAACCACCCTTTGACTTATGTCATAAAACAAGCATTTATAAAACCAGTACATTTTGAATCTTCCCCATTTTAACACTACCTGCCCTACAACAAAACCCACCTTTTGAAGAACGATACCCATTTACCCATTAATTATTACCCATTAACATTTTATTGCTTATATAAATGTTCACCATTGAGCACATGCATTACCAGTTGGGAAATAGGCACATACCCACCCTTATAATAATGAACAACTCAAACCATGTTTTATTAGATTAACCAATGATATTGTGTTCATGTGAGGATGTGTTTTGGAGCTTAATATAGTATTAGACACCACAAACTCATAACACCTATGAATCATGGCACAGACCGACTCGATTTCTGTAGCCTCTGGCTGGTCTGTGTGCCTGGAATTTTCACAAACATTAGTCCTGGAAACTGGATACTCTATTCTTCGACAGTCTCATAGAACATACGCATGGAGACCGGGATGAATGAAACAGTTCATGTGATCAAGGACTTTTGTGTGTTTGTGGTCACATTGTTTTGTTTTTTTCTTTCTTTATTCCATTAACCACCTTGACGTAACAGTTTCCTGCTCCTGATGCATTTTGTTCCGACTCTCACCACTCTTAGCTGCAATATTTTTTCTCCTTACAGCAACAGTTGAGCATAGTGTCCAGTGCTGCTTCTTCTTCTGCTTAAAATATCCTTGCTTGAAAGTTCTTGAATGAAAACACAGGCAATGACGAACACAAACATAAATAATAACTGTGCCAATCATCACAAGTACCATGTGATTGTGGTGTCTTAACCATATTTTTTTCCTATGGCGTTTGGATAAATACCTACACACCTCTCTTCACATCCAGCACACTCCTGATTCACAGATAAACACAATATCACTGCTGTATCTACCAATTTAACCCAAACACTCGTTATTACTGCTGCATTTGCCAATTTAATCTAAACACTCGTTATCACTGCTGTATTTAACCAATTTAATCTAAACATTAACCAAAACAATTACATTCCTATTTACCACCCTTCTATTTAAACATGTATAGATAACCCAAAATGCCTACTTTCTCTTATCCCTCTTATCATTCTTCCGGTTTTTTTTGTTTTTTTTTGAACTGCAACCACTCATGCACTTTACACAGACACAAATCAAGCACCTACTGGACAATGGGATTCCCTCGTTAGAGCCCTCCCACCCCAGTTTGGTTTACACAAAAATACCCCCTGGTCCCTATGGGTCAATTCCCCCCTTTCCCAGGCAAGCATACATACATACATACAACAATAATACATAAGGGTTTCAATTGCAATACAATCACTAGAAATAAGAGAATAGTATGCACAAAATCATAGCATAGACATGTTAAATAGACAATAAAATAAAACATTCAATAGCTTATCAAAGGTCAACATTTAAACACTGGTCTCCATCTGATATTCTATCTGTGTTCCAATGTCCACCTCTGGTTTCTGCTACATCTGAAAAGGTTAGGAAACAGATCAGGATTACTTTCCTAGTCACTTATAGCGTATACTGCAAATATTTTACTTAGAATATATATATATATATACACACACACAGACATGTAAACACATTCCTTCAGCTTTTCATTTTATAAACAATTTGTTCAACAAGGTAACTTTCTTAATTTTCTACTCGGCTCTTAAAATAAACAATCAGCTAATAGCTGCTTTCTGCATCTTCCTTGCAATTCAGGAGTACACAACACTAAAAGTCCAATACTCAGTACCCCCTAGCCTAAATTCCCCACCCGCTACTGTAACTAAGTTTACAGCCCACGTTATGGCAGTTCACCCGCTAGGCAGATATGCTCAGTACCCCCTAGTTTAAGTTCCCCACCCGCTACTGTAACTAAGTTTACAGCCCACGTTATGGCAGTTCACCCGCTAGGCAGATATGCTCAGTACCCCCTAGCCTAAGTTCCCCACCCGCTACTGTAACTAAGTTTACAGCCCACGTTATGGCAGTTCACCCGCTAGGCAGATATGCTCAGTAGCCCCTAGCCTAAGTTCCCCACCCGCTACTGTAACTAAGTTTACAGCCCACGTTATGGCAGTTCACCCGCTAGGCAGATATGCTCAGTACCCCCTAGCCTAAGTTCCCCACCCGCTACTGTAACTAAGTTTACAGCCCACGTTATGGCAGTTCACCCGCTAGGCAGATACACAATACACCCACGTATTACTTATTTTATATTTCCTGGTCTCTCAGGGATATACAATAGCTAATCCCCTTCCCAGGGCAATATAAAACTGACACAAACTTTTAAGCAATACAGGATTTCAAATGGACTTATGAGTAACAAATTTCTAGCCAACTTAAACATGTTTAATAACTTTCCACCCTTTGGTTAAATTATAGAGGAGTGAACCACAACACCTCTTCCGCCTCTGAAAGGATATAGGTCAATATGTCTCAAAGTTCAACACTTCTGACAGCTATGAGTGACTCCCTATTAATTTCTAGCCTTTCCACGGACATGCTTGCACCTCGCAGCTAAGGGCCTGCACAACTAACCACCCTGTGATGGCAGTGGCTTTCCGCATGGGGGTGACCGCCCCCGCAAAATTATAGAGGAGCAAACATACAGCAGCCTCTTTTCCGGCTCGATTAAAGGTTCTGGGCCAATATGTCTGCAATTTAACCAGTACACTCACGTATCACTTATTGTATATTTCCTGGTCTCTCAGGAATTTCTATTAGATAGCGTATCCCCTTCCCAGGGCAATATACAACAAAAACTAGTCACCAAGGGTCTCTATGGTCATGATAGGCCACCCTACCACTAGTGTAATACGCCCTTTTTTTTAAATATATTTCCTGGTCTCTCAGAGATTTTGCCTATCCCTTTCCCAGAGCAATATATATAAACAATTACAAATAAGTTACAAAACGCTACTTATAAGTAATACAGGGTTTCAAATAATAATACAGGATAGAACTGCACAACAACTATTGGGTATGCTCCCCCTTATCCGGACACGTTTAAATACCCCCTAGCTCAGGTTCCCCACCCGCTACTGTAACTAAAATCACAGCCCACGTTATGGAGGTTCACCCGCTAGGCAGATACACCCTAATTCAAAGCATGGAAATATTAAAATCAGTTATAGATGGCTTCTAAAATAATATAAATCTTAATCTGAGCCCCTACACTTACTTTGTTAAAAATGCTAACTTGTTAAAATATTCAGACTAAATAGGACAAAGGAATTATTTTACCATTTTTCAGTTCATTTGTTACCAGTTCCTGCATATGTCCAGTAATTCCTTAGTCCTGGATAATAAAGCTGAAAAACACTCCACAAATTGATTAGTTTAGGCAATTACATTTACAAAACAATGCAGTTTATTTTTTCTCATACAGACAAGACTACCCACCCCCAACAAGGACAAATTCTCCCCCAGCTGTAGCTGAAAAGCATGGTCACACAGCTGTTAAAGGTGGTCTCTCCTTCATGAGTCAAAATCATATATATATTTATACTAATATTCTGTGTATACGCACACATAAATCTATTATTCACTGAATCTGCTTTACTAAACGTATCTTTTTCTTAACTACTAATTTACTAGACAAATCCATGAATGCCAAACAAATGTAAATTAGTACACAAACAGGGTCAAATTTAGCAATAAAACCTGGTGAACTAGTTTAGTGAAAAGTCTTTTCCTATGCAAATGGTAGCAAACAATGAAACTAGGCCTCAACTCATTCACACCATGTGGTCAATGGTGGATTAAAATCCACATGGTCAGACAAAAGGTAAAGTATATATAAGTTTTCTCCTATACACAAATGACCAAAGATTGGTGACAAGCAACACAATAATTCATCACTATGTTCTACAGCAAGAGATACATTAAAAACAAATATCTAATCCCTATTTGCTATCTGCATTCATTCCATTAAAACCAAATCATCATTCATTTATTTAGTTGTATACAGACAGACAATTTACAGTATGATTTAAGCAAAATGCATAACATTTATATTTTCCCCAATATTCAAGCATAATCCTGCCGACTACGCCAAATGTTGTGGTCGTGACCTAAATATGAATATTAATCTCTTAATACATAATAATTAAGCAATACGGAACAACATTAATATTTTTATAATTCATGGTATTATGGTCGAATATGTGGATAGAAAATACACAAAACGTTGTAATATTAAATGTATATTTAATATAACTATAACAAATAAACAGATGATGGCAGAATGTCAATTTACTACAATTATGATACAATACAAAACTACAACATATTACTTACAAAAGGTTGCTACATGTTACACAACATTTTACTTACAAGGCCCCAGCCCTTTGGCTGGGGTTAAGTCAGAGCTGGTACTACATCTTAGGTTCAGTCAGGTACAGGCAAAGGGACAGAGTTTTCTCCTCCATCTGGTTTTATTCAGTGTAAGTAGGCTGGCCTGTGATGTCACTGCCAGAAGCACATGTCTTCCTACACACTCCCCCTAGTGGTGCCCCCAAAGCATTACACTAAATATGCTTTCTTTATGATGTAAAGTCATTAATTAATAAATACCATTACACTGCAGACTACACATTACACAAAGTATACTAAAAAGAATAAAAACAATAACAGTGTACAAGTAGAAAAAGACTGCTGTACCAAAATTGCAGGGCTCTTGTAACTGCTCTACGCATTTTGTTGATCCAACTTACTCAGGAGCTTCTGTATCCTTCCTGGTATTTTCTTCTTTTAAATCTGCCGGTCCGGGCGTCATTCATTGATTGCGCATACGCAGACCACGTCAGGCGCACCGCCATACATAATGCTGTGTGGATGACCGATGTGCGCATGTGCATTCAAGTTGGAATACAAAATAACTTTATGTGTGCTATACACAGCTGCAGAACGAGCGTGACCATATCTGGAACACTTGATATTGGCACGGTCTGAATTTACAGTCCTATTACGTTATAATAAAGAATTTTTGGCATAAAACACTTTATTGCCATTTTTCTTTTTTTTTCACCTGACTACCTATATTGTCTAATTTTAGAAGAAGCATAAAGAATCCATAGGTGGGGATTATACCACCTAAGCGCTTATAGTGAGCAGTATATACCTGCTCAAAAGAATGTGAGTAATATACATTTTATACTTTTTAACCTTTTATCACAATACAGAGAGCACTATATATTTTATTCTCTCCTTCTGGGTCTGGAATTTGGAAGCCGAACGTGTATCAGAGAATCGTCAATTGTTATCTACTCCACATATCCTCGAGTGGGGATTATTCCACTTTACGTGCATAACATCAGAGCTGTTAAAGTGTGAGTAAGACTTATTTTATCATTTTATTCTCAACGTACCTGCATACTGTACCATTGGAGTCCTGTCCTTTCTTCTCTCCACATATGCTCCATTGAATTCTAAGCAAACAACTATAAAGATCTGACCTCACTCCACATCCTAAGAATCTTCCTTTGTCTCACGTGGGATTCTCCATCACGAACTTTGATAAGTTTTGGACTATTGTCAACCATTTTTTATATCATATTTTATATATGTTGTTTTATTATTTATTGTATTTTATATATTTTAGTATATATTTTAGGCGCATCCTTACTGTACTGTTTGTCTTGTGTTTTTCCAATCATTAGGGAATTATAAGGGATTCCCTTTTAAGGAGTGCAGCCTTCCTTTACTGTGGCCATTTAGCGCTGATTTTTTTCTGTTTTTTTTTTTTTTTAATTTACAGTCCTGCCTAATGTTAGAACTATTGGCTAACAGAAACAGCTAACAGCCAGAAATAGATACAAATTGGACTGAAAATAAGAATAAAAATGTGGAGGATAACTAATCAGAAACAAATAATTAGAAAAAATATACTTATGAAAAATATATACATATAAAAAAAAAATATATATATATATAAAAATAGAAAATCCATTTGTATCAATACATACTATTTGAAAAGTTACATGAATATTTCTCTAAAGCTAACAGATGGAATCTAACTCATCAGTCATACTTAAATGAGAGCAGATGATTAATATCATCAATAAAAATATATATAGGACACATATCAGAACACATAAGGAAAATGAGTAGGTGGATATATAATAAATGGTACAAGTTGTAATAAAAAAAAGGAAAATATCTTAGCAAAGTGATACATTCACAAAATACATATCAAGGGAAACAGGCATAAATATTGGAAGGGATATTATAAAAAGAGATGTATAAAAAAGAGATATTTATAAAAAAAAGAGAGAGATGTCTCTAAATACTAATGGAATATGCTTTAAAAAAATATAAAACATATAAAAAATATATAAAAAAACTATTTATGTATAAAAAAAATTTGTGTAAACAACTAATCATATAAAACATATATATAAAAAATACATGCAAAATCTTTTCTATTATTGTATCACCGTTATGCAACTGAGATAAAATTAGTATAATATGAAAATGAATTAATTAATTAGTTGAAAACAAACAGGTGATTCTTCAGGGTCCAAATAGTTGCCCAAGAGATAGAGGATTTTGTCTTTCAAAACGTTCCGAATTCCACCAATAAGAATACACAACAGGTAAAATGAAAAATAAAATAGAATAAAATGAAAAGGGAAAAGAGAGAAAAATTATTAATAACAAACATTTAATCCATAAAGGCCAATATATCAAGGTCTGTGTTAAGACCTGAGGGGACCGAGGATTTCATTTTGTATATCCTTTCGGTCTCCCTCATGGCTAACATTTTCTCAGTGTCACCCCCCTCCCCCCAGTGTGGTACAATAAAATCAATCCCAATTCATAAAAAATCCTTCCAATTAAAATCATTACTGGTAGTGCATTGCTTAGGGATGCTGTGTTTCATATTTTTATTATTAATTCCATTAAAATGTTCCAATAATCTTTCATGTAACTTTCTGATAGTGCGACCTATATATTGGACGCCACACTTACATTGTAATAGGTACCCTATGAATGTGCTCTGGCAGTTTATAAAATGTTTTATCTTAAAAACCTCATTTGTAACTGAGCTTTTAAATTCTGTAGGTTAGGTTTCTGGGATAAAAAATTAAGATGATCTTTCTCAGTCTCTTTCTTGGGGAGTATGCTGGGGGCTAAAATACTTTTCAAATTGTTTCTGATACACCACTTGCGGATTTGATGGTAAAATCTTTTTTAAATATTGATCCTGTAATAAAATGGGCCAGTTTTTTCAAATGGATTTTTCAATCAGATTTGCCTTACCATTATATTTTGTAAGGAAGGCAAATGCAAAATTGTTATTAGAACTCTTTGTTTTTATTTTTATTTTTATTCATTAAAAGATCCTTCCTTGGGGGCGGAGCCTGACAGCCAAGGCAGCCAGCCGTGCTCTGTAAGAGCTCCTGCTTCTGGCCTGAACTAATCGAGTTTTACGCCCGGGCTACCCAGCGATCAAGCTGCAAAAAGCACTCATCTTGCTAAGGGGTCCTCGGTGCACCAAAGGATACCCGTTATGAGCCTGTCCGACCCCGGTCAATCCTGGTAGTGGATTGCAGCCTACACAAGCCTGAGCTAGGGGAGACGGCCGCTCCCCTGGCTCCTTGGACGAACGGAACGGACTCGGGAATAAAACTATCCTTCCCCCCCCTCTAGACTGGCAGGGGTTAACCCGGTATCCACTGGCTGAAGCCTATACCAAACCTAAGCAATTATCACCCCACGACTCCTGATCGCGGCTGACAAATCTAAGATGGCGGCCATACCTCTGCCCCACCAAACAAGCCTGAAACAGCCGATGGAGCCACGAGGAGGGGCTGCTGAATTGGTG